GCCACTCTCTCATAATACATGTCTTGCTCGGTTTTTTTTTTTTCTTTATTTTTTTCCCTTCCCTTTTCACGTCGCCTTCGCTCTTCATCCCTTCGGATTACCGCCAAATTAACATACCCAACGGTTTTGATCATACTATCTTCAAGCGGGCTTCAGGGAATTGATCGCCCGAGAGTCCACGCACTCACCATGGCCTCATTCAAGGTACGGCGTTTGTCGCCCAATTCTACATTAAATTCCCTTTAACTAAGTAGTACTCTTCGATAAATTGCTAATTCGAATGGTTTCGTCCATTGGACAGGAATTATCTCTTTCTCGCCCTCTACCTCAGTCCAACCCACGCCACCATGCCCATTCCATCTCTCTTGGTGCGGTCAACGCTAATCATCGGGTAACTCGCCGGAAAAGTGTCACCACTGCTGCTGCCGCCAACGCTGCCGCCGCAGCAGTTGCTGCCTCCTTGAAGGATTCGGTTGGGGAGTCAGTAGGAGTTTCTATGCCTCCGCATCGTCGAGGGAGCCGAAAAGGCTTGGAATCTAGTTCGGTCGGGGCCCCCTCCGGCTTCGGCTCTTATTTATCACGGAGCATGAATAGCCCCAGCCATGAGCCGCCGGTCGCTCGCAAGGCCTCGCCAACCAACTCAAATGACTCATCCTCGTCAAACCTCACGACTGTAGATGGAAACCATTCTGCCAACAAGTCAGCCAACAATAATAAGAACCGAAACCGTCGGGCCAGCGAGGGATCGCACCTTATCAAGGGCGAAGGGAAGCGCTCCATGACAGAACTTCGCTGCGATCGTTGCGGGAAAGGGTATAAGCATGGCAGTTGCTTGTCTAAGCATATGTGTGTATCCTCCCCTAGCATGCCATCCTGCCGTCTGGCTCGATCCGGGGTAAATGCGCCATGTCGGCTCTGTTCAAGGTCGCCTTCGTGGTCATTCAGTTCCCCTCATTCTTCAAATCCTTTTCTCTCCCCTGTTGTCCTGGGCCACACTCGATTGACGTTTTATGGTACTTAGGTGGGAACATGACCCTGCATGGGCTATTACCTCGAAACTCCTGATCTCTAAGCATCAACAAGTCCAGCTGCTCGAGGCAGCCTCCGTTTTGGTAAATATGAACCAGGATGGTCCGCCAGAAGGCGCGGAGGCCGAGTCGGAAGCATCATCGGTGTCCCCTGATGCCTCTTCAGAACTTCGAGATGGGCTCAGCTCCGCAGAGACCACTCCGCCCCCGATGGACGAGGATGACGAGGACGATGAAGACATGTCTCCCGAGCCCACTATGGAGAAGCGGTTCAGTGTCAGTACTGCATCGGGCCTCCTCTCTCACTCTTATCAGTCCATCCCCTCGAGCTCCTTTACCGGCAGTGCTCCATGGCATTCGCCAGCGTTCTCACACTACCGCCACTCGAGTATCGATACCCGACCTTCGACCGCGGAAGCCAAATTGCACGAAGATGACGAGGCGGATCTCGCTGCAGCCATCGGTCTCTGCACCTTCAACACCCCTCGTACGAGGCCCGTGCCAATGTCCCCTAGTGTCCCCCCCGTCCCTCCATTGCCAAGTCGCTTCCTTGACCAGGCCGGTGCGAGTGGTAATGAGAGCCAGAGCCTGGATCAGTCGGCAATCAAGGAGGCAGATGCTCTTTTCCCGAACTCTACCCCGAACCTTTTCCTCTCGCTCTCGTATAACCCTTCCCTGTCGTACAAGGTGTCAGATGAGCGAGAAGTGAAGATGGGCGATGCGGATCGCACTACACGGCAGAGTCGTAATGCAGACGTGGATTTTGGGCACCGGCCTACTGCGGCCGATGAGGACGATGATGGCGTTTTTGGTCGGATGGAGGAGTAAACAACCCACTCTTCTTATACCCTCTTGGATCATCTTTCTGTGTGATTCTCACGAACTTCTCTTCGGCCATAGATTCTAGCCGATTGGGCTGCTGCGCTGCAGCAGTGACTTTTCATGACATGTACGAGCTCGCGCGTATTTTGCGAACGTTGGTTTTTCTGTGGTTACTTGTGTTGTTTGAACAACCCCTTTTTGCGTGTATGACAGGTTACTAGGGAATGTATCACCCGTTGGCACTTCGTGTGACCTTGGGGCCCTGGTATGCATGATCGATTTGAATGGATCGTCTAGGTCTTATTCTTTTTATTATTTGCCTTCTCTCTTTTCATTGGTTTCTTTTCTCTTTCTCTCCCTTCATATTCCCACTATTGCCACTCAATTACTCCATTCTGACTACCCATGTATCATTTTATTTGTATCACAGCATTTGCATCGCCCTCATATACCGGACCAGAGCCCTTCACATGAGTCCGTCGACTATTTCCTTTTTATATGTGTACACAAACTCCCAATGGGATACCATTAAATACATCATACTGGGTTATACTTGTCACTCCTGAGCAGCGAAGTGAAGCTGGTTCACAGTGCAGATAATTTCTAGTAGACTGATCGGGAATCATATAGACGGTCGACATTGATCAGTTGATCAGTTATATTAATACAGAAGACTACTTAACATTCTCTATTGTCTTGCATAGCCCCACACGCCAAAGCTTGTACACAAAACACATTGAGAATTCATGCATTCCACCTTCACTAGAGCACATAGCGCCTGTCCAAACGCATCGCACAAGACGTGAGAAATCCCAAGAGCGTCCAACAAGCACCAAGCTACTTCCCAACCATCCCCACGTACCAACCTTGGCTAACAAACGAGCCAAGGACTCATAAATCCAGAGGTTCAATAAAGATTTTCAACCATAAACAGGCATCCCCGTCCGGCCGCACTCTAAGCACAAGACCAAGATAATCAGATCATAGATTGGGCGGGACAAATCTCAATCGATTATGCACGGGACGAACAGGGTGGGTAGGAAGATGGGTATATGACTACCTGTGCGTGTTGATCAAAGGTCGGGGCTTCGGGCTGTTCGTCTGTCTCCGGCCTCTCTCTTCTCTGTCTGCTCTGTCACTTTCGCTTGATTCCCGTCTCCTTTGACGTTTCCGCGTCCAGCGGTCTCTCCTTTCCTGGCTGGGGCGGTTCTTCTTCCTTTTCTTGTTGGATCTTTCTAGTTGGTCTTGTTCTGGTAGGTTATATCCGGATTGCCTACTAGGCCCGAGTTGTGCAGGTTGGCTAGGTGCGGGTTGAACGGTATGCATAGCTGGGTTGGCGACTAAAGCACGGATTATCAGAGCCAGGGCACGGTTCTGAGGTCGGTAAAGATCCAGAGCCCATTGTCGCTCCGGGAAGTAGCAGGTTTCTTGAGCAGGTTGTGCGATGTTGTTGTCAGCGCTGACAAGGCCGACATCTAGATTCTCTCCGAATGCTCGGCCGCGTTGATTGCGGAAGATCGCCTTCTCCACTTTAGGATGGATCTGAATACAGGTCGACGTACCCTCATCACTGCCGTCAGATGCCTTGGAGGGCGTTCCGGGCCGGGAAGCTTTTGCAGAGCGTCCCCACGAGGATATGCGAGTCCAACTGTGCAATGATATACAGGAAATGGCGATGAAAATGTCTAAGAACTCTTTGAAAGAAGGTAGTGTCGTTGTGGCATTGTCGTCGGCATACCGGTCGACGTAGACATCGTTCCTCCAGATGGGTGTGTCTTCCTCGTAGCATACGGGATAGAGAGCGATGAGCGATGTCTCCGTATTGTTGATCACTATGAGTCCCCTCTCGGGAACCAAGTCTTCTCGACTAATGGGGCACCAGAGACTGTCCCAGTCGTAGGGCACAAGACCTTCGGTGTGCGTTGCTGTCTTGTATACCCATGCAGTGACTTGCGCAATGTCTAGGATTGTATTTGCCTCTGACGCGATGCATACGGCGCTTGATATGCGCATGAAGAGTGGCTCGCGGCGGTCGGTGAGCTCCTTCATTCCCGGTATTTTGAGACGAGCACCGAGAAACGTCAAGGTGACGAAGAGGCCGATGAATGGAACGAACATGGTCTGCGGTATGTTAGTAATAACTATCAGGCGCAGTTTGGCATGATCTCACGACATGTTAGTCTCTCAGCCCTTGGTATTAGTCTGGTCTAGTTAACGCATACAGAAGCTTTATGGAAACCAAGTGTAAGATGGGGTGGTGATGAGGAGAAGGTCAGAAGATAAGGGGGAACAGAATAGAAGAATATATACTTCTTTTGGGGAGGATGTCCTATATTTGCTCTTAACAGAGAAGTGGAACACAACATGCATCCAGTCAGAGCAACAGCCATTGGACCAGCAACAAACAGCAAGAACATGTAAAGAGGAGCAAGGAACCTAGCAAGCAAAACGAATAAAGGCTTTGCTCTCCAGTGAATGGTGGATGTGGCACCATCCCGGCAGATTGCTTTTAAACAAGGATCTATAGACAGGAACAGGAAAGTCTATACAAGGCATGTAAACCGGCATAAGCCGTAAACCATGTAGAAAAATATTCACTAGCTAGGTATGAATCAGTTCTTTTTAGTAGCAAACAAATCAGATATCACAACAACCTAACTCCATTGTAAAACCCAGGGCATCGTATCTGAAAGAAACAAAGGAAGCGCATAACCTTTAATCGACGTCCATTTCCTCCTGAGTTGTGCCATCCACAAGAACTCTGGTCTTCTTCTTCTGTCTGAGCCTCTCCTCGCCGTGGATCTTGTTCCGCTTGCCCTCCTGCACCAAGGGCATGCCCTCTTCTCTGTCGCGCAGTTCCTTGCGGATAAGGTGTTCGCCCTCGGCCACAACCCTCCGGTCTGCCTCGCGCTTGCGGTCCCGAGCGACCTTGCCTGCCAATCTGCGCTTGGTAAAAGCGCGCTCTCTGCGTTGACGGATCTCCTCCACTCTCTCCATAGCCTTAACGGTAGCGGCCACGAGGTTGCGGTCGTACTTGACGGGGGCGTTCCTCTTCTTGGCGAACTGAGACAGAACGAGAGACGAGTCGACAATCATTTCCTTTCCATTTGCAGCTCTGCTGGTCTTGGTCCACTTCAGCTTCCGGGGTTGGCGCTTCATCTTAAAGTTCTTGTGACATTTGCTGGAAGGAGTCAGAGCGTTTCTTCAACCGTATTAATCGTAGGAACCACCCACCTTCTGCAGAACCGGAACATTTTCGAATCGAGCCGCACAAAACTGATACCCTTGCTAGGGTATACAGGGCTGTTTTGCTGTTAGAAAAAAAACTGTGCCTAGGTTGATGGCGGGGTTATAGCATACCGACTGCAGAAGTGGCAGGTTTCAACTCTGCGCAGATGATTAGTGACTTTTTTTTTTGTCTTATCAAAGTAACACTGGTGGAAAACAGCGAAAACCGTATAAAGTGCAAACTTACCTCATCTTGAATGATGTCTCTGCCCACTTCCTTCAAATTTACAATTAAAAATAAACTGGGAGGAAGTTGAAGGTATCAGCGGTGATAACAACCTCAGGTACCGCCAGAAACTTTTCGCAGATCTCCAAAACCGTGGCGGAGACGACGCTAATCCCAAACGGGCATCGGCGGCGGCGCTCCGAATTTTTATCTCGACGGCCTTCCGTGTCTCCCAACGAACGTCACATCGAACACCTCTTCCCCGTGTTAATCCAACCTCGACTCAGATATCGCCTATCCCTCGACCGGACCCGGTATTTTCAAAGACCGACTATAAACGAAGATGGCTTCAACTCTTGCTATGGGACTCGGTGTCGCGACCGCGGCATTTTTGGTAAGCCAGGGAACATGGATTCTTCGGTTATAGGGCGTGGCAAACTAACACCGGCATTTTCACCTGTGTATAGGGTCGCGCGGGTTTCGTTGCTTTCCGTCGCTACAGGGGAGGTGTAAACGCCGCGGGCAAGGCATTCTACAAGGGGTAGGTGATTTGAATATATAAGTGGAGCTATAGAGTGGATAGCTGACTGGCGTATAGAGGATTTGAACCCCGGATGAACCGTCGCGAAGCCGCATTGATCCTGGAACTTCCGTATGTTTTGAATCCGTTGTCTCGTACCGACTTTGGGTAGAGTCTAACAGAATGAATAGGGAACGTACCTTGAACAAGGACAAGGTCCGCAAGAAGCACCGTCAGCTGATGCTTCTTAACCACCCCGATCGCGGTGGCAGTCCGTACCTGGCAACGAAGATCAATGAAGCCAAGGAATTCCTCGATAAGCATACTTAATGGTAGAATCGGAAGGGGCCGTGGCCCCTGGTCACCGTTGGGGGTATTTGCGGATCCTCTAAGAACGGAAGGGTGGACCCTTCGTTCATTGTATAAGGAAAGAGAATGTCTTTTTTTGGGTGCATAGCATGGCGTTGGTGGAATTTTCGAGGACGAGGTACATTTCTTCATGCTCCTCCCGGAGACTTGTGTTTGCATATATCCTGACGAGATCGCCACTCCTGATTACTTTACATGTACTACTGTATAAATACTAAAGAAACCTATCATTGAGAATCGTCCATCTCGCATGATAGTGTTGCAGCTAGGATAGCGCACCATGATCATGACTATCGAACAAGGTCTAAACTGCCTGGACCTGGGCTTGACTAGATCTAGCATAAATCTCTGTAGTTACTGGTGGAAAGCGAAGACTGTCGGTGCTTTGGTCTCTTTATCAGGTCATTCACAGCATGATTTGCATGAGATGCATAGATAATCACAGGGAGTTGCAATAACCTCCGTGGGCCGTTCCACGTGGACTCAGAAACATTCTCTGGCTCGAAACAAGCAACAAGGGTTCCGGAGGTCGGAAGTCCTGTGACTTGGACACCAGAAGAAGAAGAAGGAAGAAAACGCCAAGGGCAGCCCGGATGTCGGCGTTTCCGGAGACAAGACAGCCGGGAAAATCAGCTTTGAGTTTCCAAGTCCAACGGAGATCGGACTTAACAGTTCCCGAAGGTCTTAAAACGTCGTATATTCGAGCCACGGGAGAGCAACGCACTAAGGATGCACTTGGCAAGAAGCAAAACCCATCTTACTCCGTAGTACCTGAAAGGAAGGGAAATGGTCTGTGAAGTTTGAAGTTTAGGTGCCCTACTATTGAATTAGTAAGGTTAATTAGTTCGTCCTGCTTGAAGGCAGCAACGTAGTTTACGAGTACGAATGCGATGACTCTCTTTCCTTGATGTCAGTCCTTAGGGGGTTTAACAAATGATCTCTTGAATTTCCACTCCCCAAGAATTGCCTGATCATAAACGTTACTCTACACACAAAATTGTTGACGTCGTTCCTTATTTGTTTCTCTCTCTCTTTTTTTTTTTTTTTTTCCTCCGCCGTCCACTGGAAAGATTCGCCACGTGCCAGAGTTTGGGGAGGTTGACTCAGCTATTCATTTTCCATTCAACTTTGCGCAACGCACCGAGTACCTTAAGCTATTTTCGCCCTTTGAAGGCCTTCCCCACTGGAGAAAGGCTAGCGTCCGATGACCCTAGTCTTTCTTTCGTGTATCACCTAACCTTCATACTGAGCAAGTAAACAAGCGGAGGAAGGAGAGACTGGAAACAGCTCTTTTACGCCATTGACGTTTTCGCGGAAAGACCCCGCATCTTTCCTATCATTATCACGCCTGAAACGATACCCGCCTACATTGGAACTCCACAATATACTTCGCAAGCTTTTAAGACGTCGCACCGTCACAGTTTGTTTGGTTTGCCACGATGGATGGCATGGGGGAAGGTCCAGATGGTATGGGCTTCGATATGCCGATGCTTATGAACCAACAGCCCCATCTCTTCGGCGGCTATAACCACGACAGTTCGCGCGGTTCACCACTAAACAACGTTCTCTCGAATCCGACCTATAACGAGGAACATGGAATGGCGGGTGAAGACAACAACGATGCCAAGAGGAGAAGGATTGCGAGGGTGAGTAGATATCGACAATGACATTGGCGGTTGAGTGTCAGCGAAGCTGATTGTCCCCATGTAGGCCTGCGACATGTGCCGGAAGAAGAAAATCAAATGCGACGGCAAGATGCCCAAATGCTCTCACTGTATCAACTATAAGACCGATTGTGTTTTCACTCAGGTGGAGAAGAAGCGAAACCCTCCCAAAGGGTATGCTTGCGCATCTACTGTATTACCTCTTCGTTGCGGGCGCTGACCGTCTACTCTTCTAGTGCCAAATACATCGAGGGTCTGGAGAATCGGTTAGGAAGAATGGAATCGCTCTTACGTCTGTCGGGTCTCTTGTCAGAAGATGATGGGAAGACGGATCTTGGGACTCTGGAGAAGCGTCTCGCCGACCGATCTCTAGGCAACACTGGACTGAATTCCCTAAAAAGCCCGACAAACAAATTCAATGGCTCAAGCGCGACGTCGCAATCCCAGCACACTACTGCGTCTCGACATTCGACGCCACGGATGGATTCTCAGTCCAGTCCGCACACAGCTGCTACCTCTCCCGATTCACCGAAAGAATCCGAGACAGAAGTCGAGGGATTGTCAGACATGATGTGCTCTCTTGTGACGAATAATTGTGGAGAAACGCGGTACATCGGTATGCGCGTGTTCAGTTCGGCAAACTTTATGACGCAAGCTAACATTGTATGACAGGATCATCTTCGGGATTTTCCATATTCTCTCCCAAGGGAATTCAATGGGTCAATGAAAAAACAGGCGATACCTCTTTTCAGGACATGATCTCGTCAGCGTACGTGGATGACAACAAGTGGATGTACTGGAAACCGGAGATATTTAGTGACATATTTGCTCGTCGTGTATTCAAACCCTTACCCCCGAAGGAGGAGGCGCTATCACTATTCCGAGATTTCTTTGAGAATTTCAACTGCATGTTCCCGCTGTTTCACGAACCAACATTCATGCACTTGGTGGAGCGCCAATATTCTCGGGATCCATATGAAGGCTCTGGCTGGTGGGCTAGTATCAATGTTGTCCTCGCCATCGCGCACAGATTACGAGTCATGAGTAATTTAGTGCCTCAAGAAGAGGATAAGAAAGCTTGGCTCTATTTGAAAAATGCCATGGGGGTCTTGACCGAATTGACCATGCGGAATACAGATCTTCTGAGTGTCCAAGCATTGCTAGGCATGGTACGTATGACACAGACTTGATGATGACTGGACATTTGGGGCTTAACAATTGTCTAGTCACTCTTCCTACAAGGAACTCCGAATCCTCAGCCATCCTTCTTCTTAGTTGCAGCGGCTATCAGGCTGTCGCATAGCATCGGCCTCCATAAACGGGGATCTGGATTTGGACTAAATCCAGTTGAAATTGAGCAGCGAAAGAGGGTGTTTTGGATCGCTTATCTTCTTGATAAAGAGTATGTTGAAAACATGAATTCCCATACACATTCTTAGTCCCTTGCTTTTGCACGACTAACATGCTCATAGTATCTGCCTCCGTTCTGGCCGCCCCCCTGTGCAGGATGACGACGATATGAATGTGGAGTTACCCAGCGAAGATCCGCCAGATAACATAGGCAATGTTCCTCTGTCTGACGGAAAGGGGAAGTTCAACTTGTTCAGATCATTATGCCGATTCGCTACCATTGAGAGCCGAGTTTATAAGCGGCTATACTCTGCTAAAGCGTCTAAGCAATCCGATGGTGAGCTGCTAAATACTATTGGAGAGTTGGACAGAGAACTGGAGGAATGGAAAGACAGCATTCCTATTGATTTCCGACCTGAGCATGAAATTAAAGCTTCCCACACGCCCCTTATTCTCCACGTCGTCGTCCTTCATTTTTCCTACTATAACTGCTTGACAACGATTCACCGGATGTCGGTACACCACGGCTATTGGACAAGCCGGCTATCCAACTATGCAATTCAAGGTCTCAATGCCAGGCCGTTAAACCCTAGAGTCTTTTTATCTGCCGTTCTCTGCGTCACGGCCGCCAGAGCGTCTATCAATCTGATCAAATATATACCGCACGGTGATTTCGCTTGTGTCTGGTGAGTTGAGCTTATAGATCGGATGGACACAGTCGCACGCTAACAGATTCTAGGTTAATTTTGTATTATCCCGTTTCAGCGTTGGTCACTCTATTTGCTAATATTCTTCAAAACCCCAACGATGCTCGAGCACGCTCTGATGTTAAACTCATGAATGTGGTTGTCAATTTCCTCTCGACGCTCGTCTCTGATGAATCCAATGGAAGCATCAAGCGTATGCTTGGCCTCTGTGGCGAGTTTGAGAGAATAGCTCAAGTCGTTCTTGACAAGGCGGAAAAGGAGTCACATTCCAAGAAGAAGCGCAAGGCAGCCCCTGATGAGCCACAGGATTTGCAGCAACAGACACCTGATGAGAACTCGGCTCCTTCCCCTTCCACTAAAAGGCCAACAGGCCCACCGCCAGCAACTGCACCATTCCCGTCATCTTCGTACCCAATGAATCTGGGCAACACTGGGCCTGATATGTCGAATTCTGCAAGGCCATTCGCTCCAGGTCAACCTGTTCTAGCCACTAATGGTGTCCCCACATCTATGCAAGAAAGTATGCATACCATGCCTGGTATGGGACACGATTTTCCAGAGATGCTTAGCCCCAACAACATGGACGGTGTGGGCTTTGGTGATCAACAACCATTTGGCACTCCTACTGAAACCCCTATGACATCTTTCCAACAGCCCTTTGTCCCACAAGACCTATGGCAGATGCCGATGACGATCGAATGGGACTGGGCCGACATGTCGAGCAACTTCCCGGTCTTTGAGGGGACACCCAACACTGGACCGTGATTATGATGAGATGAAGAAATTGACGAATTTTACAACGGGATGCACTCGAACCCTAACATTGCATGGAATCAATGGAGTTGGGGTTTGATTATTCTTTTTTCATATCATTGTATCTAGTCATATATATTTTTTGGTGGGGTTAACGGCGTTTAAAAATGGGGGCTCTCGTTACTCCACTCTTACAACCGCAAGATCCGCCAGCGCCTAAGGCCAAGGGCATTGTGAACTACGAGAAGCCGAGGATCTACGTTACCCCTTCTGTAGTATAGGTAACATTCACATAATAGTTATTTTGTGATAAGAAAATATAAGTACATGCTCCACAGTTACGGTTGTTACTAGTAATCTTGAATGTCTTCTCTTTGGATAGAAATGTAGTATACATGCGAGTAGTATGGTTCAAGGGTACCGTGAAATATATATTTTGAAAGTTGTAAAATGTTTATATCTTGAAGTACTAGTTAACTCAAGAGAGTTATTTTTGTCTATATACTGTGAAGTTTGAGTAATCAATAGGGACATTATTCCCCAAATTCTCCGTAAAAGGACCAACTTTTACTCTGCATATCTCCTGATCTATTCGTAAATTCAAGAGCAGTAGCGATGACGAAAGAGGCCTGGAAGGTCCATTACCTTCGTTGGGATTCTGGCCGCCAGGCTGCTTTGGTAAGGCCGTAACCCGATGACTCAGCCACCGGGGGGCGGAACTACGAAAAAACCCAAAGTCCGACAAAAGGCGGCGGGAACTCAACTTAGTAACTCGACGGCGACATACAGCTCTTCCCCAAAAGAGCTTTCCATTCCCCTCTTTCACCCCCAATTTAGTGCTTCACGAGGACTTATATGGATTCGGCAGTCTGCCATTATTCTTGAACCTCGATTGAAACACCACTTAACCCTTGCCTTCGGGCTCACCTTCCTCGACCATGGCCACCTTACTCCGACGGCCAGGCAATCTTGCTCGATATTCGAGGAGAGCCGCAGACTATATATATCGCGCAGGACCACGGTCGGCGCACATCTCACAATCGAGACTATCATCCCTTATCACCACGCCACGCCTTCTTAGAACATATGCTACCCAAAGTCCGAAACCCCCGAACGAGAATGACGGTCAACACCAACCACCGAACCAACCCGGGAATGGCGGCGGTAAGGATGGAGAAGGAAAGAAGCCAGAGGAGCCTCAATCGAAGCTCAGCAAACAGGAGCAGGAGTCAGTAGATCAATTTATACAGCATCTGAAGTCGAAGGTGCCACAGTCACAGCACCAAATGTTGGACGATATGCGGTCGATCATGATGAGCGAAGGATTACCGCCGGAGGTCCGCGACTTCATCCAGAAACACTTAAAATCCGGTAAACCCACATCTTTGATGGACTATGTGAACTTGACGCGTTACATGGCGAAGTACTTGGAAAACTATGCCTCCAAACTGAACGAGTTGGAGGAGAAAAGAACGCGGGACCAGGAGAAATCAGAAGATGGACAGGGCCAGAAACAAGAAGGACAACAAGGGAAGGGCAAGAATGAATGGAAACCGCCACCGAATGCGAGAGTTTTCGAGTTCCGTTTTGACCCCGCCTCGTTCCTAGTCACCACCCTTCTATCTTACTATGTCTACCGCAGCTTCTTCCCTGGCGAAAACAGCAAGGATATTACATGGCAAGAGTTCAGAGCCAACTTCTTCGATAAAGGTCTAGTCGACAAGCTGACCGTTATCAACGGCAACCGAGTTCGGGTTGAACTGAACCGTGACGCGGTCTCCCGGGTCTATCCTGATTCTCCGGCTACCCAGCCCCTATTCCATTATTACTTCAGTATCGGATCGGTTGAGAGCTTCGAGCGGAGATTGGATGAAGCGCAGAATGAACTGGGTATCCCTGGCTCTGAACGTATTCCCGTTTCGTATACCGAAGAAGTATCATGGGGTGCCACTCTCTTGTCTTTTGCTCCTACCTTCCTCCTCATTGGTTCAGTTTTCTGGTTGTCGAGACGTGCTGCTGGCGGTGCCGGTGGCCAAAGTGGTATCTTTGGTATTGGAAAGAGCCGTGCCAAGCGTTTCAACCACGAGACAGATATCAAGATCAAGTTCTCTGATGTGGCTGGAATGGACGAGGCTAAGGTTGAAATCATGGAATTCGTCAGCTTCCTTCAACATCCCGAAAAGTTCCAGAAACTTGGTGCCAAGATTCCTCGCGGCGCCATTCTTTCTGGACCTCCTGGTACTGGTAAGACATTGCTCGCCAAGGCAACGGCCGGTGAGTCTGGTGTTCCGTTCTTTAGCGTCAGTGGTTCGGAGTTCGTTGAGATGTTCGTTGGTGTTGGACCTTCCCGTGTCCGTGACCTCTTTGCCAATGCTCGTAAGAACACGCCTTGCATCATCTTCATTGATGAGATCGATGCCATCGGTAAATCGAGAGCAAAGCAAAGCTTTGGTGGTGGAAATGACGAGCGTGAGAGCACGCTGAACCAGATTCTTACTGAGATGGATGGTTTCAACACCTCTGAACAAGTGGTTGTCTTGGCTGGTACAAACAGACCAGATGTTCTGGACAAGGCTCTGATGCGGCCGGGACGTTTCGACCGGCATATCGCTATCGACCGTCCTACCATGGATGGCCGCAAGCAGATTTTCCGCGTCCATCTGAAGAAGATTGTTACCAGCGAGGATATGGAATACCTCACCGGTAGACTCGCTGCTTTGACCCCCGGCTTCGCTGGTGCCGACATCGCTAACTGCGTGAACGAGGCTGCCCTAGTTGGTAAGTAGCTGCCTCCTTGTAATTGTTACGTCTTGAATTCCTTTACTAACCTAAAACTTCTGTAGCGGCTCGTGTGAATGCGGATCATGTCACCATGAAGCACTTCGAGCAGGCGATCGAACGTGTCATTGGTGGTCTGGAGAAGAAGTCCCTTGTGCTCTCGCCGGAAGAGAAGCGCACGGTGGCGTATCACGAAGCTGGACACGCTATTTGTGGCTGGTATTTCCGCTGGGCTGACCCGCTACTGAAGGTTTCTATCATTCCTCGTGGGCAAGGCGCTCTGGGTTACGCCCAGTATCTCCCAGCCGGCGGTGATACTTACCTGATGAATGTCAACCAGCTCATGGACCGTATGGCTATGACTCTTGGAGGCCGTGTCAGTGAGGAGCTGCACTTCGATACCGTCACCAGCGGAGCTAGCGACGATTTCAACAAGGTCACTCGCATGGCAACCGCCATGGTTACGAAATTCGGCATGTCACCTAAGCTGAAATACATCTACTACGAGGAGGATCCCAATCAGTTCCACAAGCCTTTCTCCGAAGAAACAGCCAAGGATATTGACACGGAAGTCCGTCGGATTGTCGCTGAGGCATACCAACAATGTCGCACCCTTTTGACCGAGAAGAAGAAGGAAGTCGGCATCGTCGCCGAGGAGCTTCTGGCCAAGGAAGTCCTCAGCCGTGACGACCTCATCCGACTCCTCGGGCCCAGGCCCTGGCCTGAATCTGGTGAATTCGCCAAGTACTTCGACGGTGCCAAAGGAGCCACTATCGCACCTCCCGAACCCACCCAGTCAAGCGAAGCAACCGAAGGCAAAGACGGAAGAGACCAAACGCCATCCCCACCATAGACAACTTCGTTGTTGAATTCCTTATCTAGACACAGGAAAGTTTACGGTTGACGAGGGGACATATATCAATCTGGGTTTTGTATTTATCTCGTTACGGAAGCATCTCCTTTCTTTGTTCTTTTTCCTCCTTTTAATCCCTCTGATCGTTCTTCCTCCCTTTTTTCCCTTTCTCCTTCGACTTATTGCCATAGATACTAGGATCTCTTCATATCTCGCTTCATCTTCCTCTTGTCCTCTTTTCCTTCTCCTCTTACCCTACATCTGTCGCTTCCACGTTTTCCCTCTTATAAGAAGCATCCGGTGTACTGTACTGTATAGTAGGTAGCTCATTTGACTCATCTTTCTTTCAATTATATCAAGCTTGCTGCTGGTAGGCCGGAGTTATACCGATAGTCTTGCAGATGTTTGGTAGTTCTATGCATGTACTGGCTAAGGCTTAAACTCGTATAGTACCCAAGATTGGTATAATATGTTTACAATATATTTGGCTTTAGCCTACTTTGCAAAACCTTGACAGAATAACGCCAACACAGTAGGTTTTTTAATATACAACGTGAAACCAAAACCCCAGACCGAACAAAACATTGGTATCATATGACCGATATATAGAATCGACACAACACAACCCATTCATTTGACCTTTGCACCTCCTCACTGGTGCTTCTTGTCCTCCTCTTCTCCAGACTGCTCAGCCTTTTCAGTCTTCTTGGCCTTCTTCTTAGCCTTGCCCTTGTACTTGGGCTTCGCGGAAAAGCGGGGAATGAACCGTCCAACACGAGCCTGGTACTCGCTGTATTCAGGGTACTTGCTGGAGCTGATGGACTCGGTGAGACGAGTGCTTCCCTGGAATATCATTAGGAGAACCAGAATACCCACTCCAGTCCACTGGACATAGGACTCGGTGCGGTAGCAGTTCCACAGGTACAGGGTCAGCCAGATAGCCTGCTCGGCGAGGAAGTTAGGGTGGCGAGACAGAGACCACAGGCCGCTGACAGTGAAGCCGCGTTCCAGGTCCTCGGGGGTGTATTGGCCCTTGTACTGATCAGGGATGCGCGCCGTCTTCTGGTATTCATGTTTGGCGCAGTGGAAGTGCCACTGCTGCTGATCGGCGAAGTATTCGATGATAAGGAAGAAGAAGGCGACACGAGAGAATACGAGGTCGGGGACCTCAAATGTCTTCCCGCCAGGGAGGCGCGAGAGAAGGAGGAAGTTGTAGGTGGGCGCCGCGAGGAGCAACAGCAGCAGGGATTGGATCTGGGAGATGAAAACGATGTTGAAAATGAAGAAAACGAATCGGTTGTTGATCTTTGAGCGCACAATTGCCCAACGGTAGTCTTCCGAGCCGATCTTGTAGCCTCCTTTGCGCCAGTAGTTGAATGCTAGGCGGACCTGCGCGCAATTAGTGTTTGGGGTTTAGAGGCTAGCGCATTGATTATCTTACACTCCAGAGAAGAGCGATAACAGCGATCGTGTCCAGGTGTTGAGTGCGAAGATCAGACATACGTGCCCAAACGGCGAAATGCACATTGTATATAGCTGGCAGAAAGGGCCAGAAACGATCAACTTGGGAGTAGTTACGATTGATCTCTGAGAAGAGGAAGAAGAGTACAGACAGGGCTAGACTGAAGCCAAGCGCTGTAACGAAAGGGTTGGTGGAGAGATAGATTTCTCTCAAACCGTCCACATCCTTGGCTACCGCAGCAACCTGAAGCCTTTCGGGGAGAGTAATTAATTGCGAAAGAAATGGTAGCACAGTTTGATCGAATGAGGCGCAGTCCACAGCGGACTGGACCTCGGGGAGTGGCAACGCCATTTTAACAAGCTTTGATTTATTTTTGGTGAAGGATTATCGTTATCGCACCAAACCAAGGGGAAGTGAATGAAGTGAAGGTGGGCGGATGAAATCAAAACAGACAACAACAGTGTTGAGCTCACGCTTACCGCATCGGGACAGGGAGCTTGGGCCAACTGGCTGTCGTTGCCTTAGGCATAAATGTATGTATCAACGGCGGGAAATCGCGTCTTTTTTGTGGCTTAATTGCTTCTTTCCTACCAGCAATGGTACTCCGCCAAATACCGAACAGGGCTTGTTTAGATAATGGAAATTATCTCACTTTACTTTTAACCTGAGTCCACGGTTATGACCGTTCCCAGAGTCTTGTGTGTGGCTGAGAAGCCTGCCATTGCCAAGGCTGTAAGCCAACATCTTTCTGGAGGTTCCTTCCAAACCGTAAGTTTTCGGGAATGGGTATTTGCCTAGGTGTGAGGGTACATGTACTAAGGTAGACGTAGATCCCCGTGAGTGGGAACCGATATGTGAAGAATTATGTTTTCGATTTCAATTTTGGCGGCCCATGGGGCACCTGCTCGGTCACTATGACCAGCGTTATTGGGCACTTGACAACCCTAGAATTCGAACGGCAATATAAGGGATGGCTATCATGCCCACCTGGTGCACTATTCGAGGCTCCTGTGCATATAGCCGTGGACTCCGTATGTATTTGGTACGACAAGTCTATGAGAAACGTGCACTAAGCTCGAACACAGGACAAAGCAGCTATTGCAAAGAATATACAAGAGCAGGCCAAATACTGCAAGGCTTTGTTTATCTGGACTGACTGTGATCGAGAAGGGGAACATATCGGGACAGAGGTCCGAAAACAAGCAAAAGAAGGGAATGCCCGAATTGTTGTTAAACGGGCCAAGTTCAGCAATACTGAGAAGGCGTGGGTAGAATCACTCATGGTGTCCCTTTACAAACCTTCTAACAATATACTTCAAGTCACGTTCTCAACGCAGCTCGATCCCTTATCGAGCTGGACGATCTTCAAGCGAATGCAGTAGCCGCCAGAATAGAGCTGGATCTTCGAATCGGTGCCGCGTTCACTCGCTTGCAAACTCTACAACTCAAGCATATGTCAGAGGCTCTGAGCGAGAAGATCATCAGCTATGGTATGCTGTGTTATCCAAATCTTTCGTTTGTCAAACTCTGATTTTCAGCAGGATCTTGTCAGTTTCCTACACTGGGGTTCGTTGTTGACCGCTATCTACGAGTGAAAAACTTCAAACCTGAAAATTTCTGGGGCATCAAGGTGATGCATACCCGCGACGGTATCAAAGTGAACTTTCTCTGGAGAAGGGTACACCTTTTCGATAGGGCTGCAGTGACGGTGATGCTTGAGCGTTGTCTCATGGCTAAAAAGGCCAAAGTTACCAAAGTTAATCAGAAGCCCACCAGCAAGTGGAGGCCCCTACCGTTGACAACAGTAGACCTGCAAATGATGGGTAGCAGGTATCTTCGCATGGACAGTCAGAAAATCATGAAGGTGAGGATAGTTCCCGGATCAACCGTATAGGTACTTACCGATTCCAGGTCGCAGAAGCTCTTTATACTAAAGGGTTCATCAGTTACCCGCGTACAGAAACAGACCAGTTCGACAAAGGCATCGATCTGAAGAAATTAATTGAAAAACAACTCCCTGACGCAAACTGGGGCCAGTACGCCCGAGGGTACGTTCTACGACCGTAACTTTTCACTACATTAGCTAACTCGATGCCCTAGTCTTATCGATGGCGGATATAGGACCCCCAGAGCGGGCCGTCACAATGATCGCGCACATCCGCCCATTCACCCTGTCTGCTGGGTTTCGCCAACCGCGTTGAGCGCCGATGAAAAGAAAGTCTACGAGTTTGTTGTCCGACGATTCTTAGCATGCTGTTCCGAAGACGCAAAGGGTCAAACATCAGAAGTCGAGATCCAATACGGTGACGAGATATTCCATGCCAAAGGGCTCATCGTCTTAGAGAGGAACTATCTTGACGTATATGTCTATGACAAATGGGAGAGTAGCCAACAGCTACCTAGTTTCCAGATGGGAGAACTATTTGAGCCTACTGAAGCCAATATATTTGACGGCAAGACAACACCACCGAACTACCTAACCGAGCCTGAACTTATCGGGCTCATGGATGCCAACGGAATCGGCACCGATGCCACTATGGCGGAACATATCGCCAAGATCAAGGAGCGAGAGTACGTTGCTGTTCATTCGCGTGGAAGTGGGCGCAACGCAGTCAAGGAACTCATCCCAACTCGCCTCGGCGTCGCGCTGGTAGAGGGTTATGACAATGTCGTCGCCGGACTTCCAGATAGCCCCTCTCTCAGTAAGCCCTTTCTTCGCAAAGAGATGGAGCTTCGGATGCGAGAGATCTGCGCCGGGTCTAAGTCGCGAACAGAGGTTGTGCAACAGAGTTTAGAGATGTATCGGGAGGTCTTCATACACACTCAGAGACGAATTAGTATGTTGAAGGGCGCGGTTCGAAAGTACCTCATTGAAGAGGCAGCGTCTTGATCTATACCCTACAGTCACGATACGGAGTTAAGATTTGGGGCGGACTTCATGAGTTTGTGAATATGATACCCTATGCTCGGGATTGGGCTTGCATTTTGGAGATTGCATGCTATCTGATAGTAGAGATGCCAATAGAACAAACATAGTCCTAGCCTTAAATGTTCATTTGGGCCAGCTATATATCTGCCTGAGGCAAGAAGTACTATATACTCCGTACACCATACCTAACTAGGTAACCCTATGCTATTATGGACAAAATTTATAGTCAACAGAGAACAACGAAATATCCATATCTAGAACCCAAAAGTTAACCTCTGCGATATACTGTTTCTGAATAAATCCCTAGACCTACTTATTACTTTGATATATTCCAGATCCTGTTTGTGTCTCTCGCTACCTGCTCTATAATGAAATATACTTACCTATCAAGCAGGATACATTATGTGGAAAACTGATTCTTTTCCTATCTCCAGAGATTAGAAAAATAGAACCTAAAAGCAGCAAAACCACAAACGCCTTCACAGGTATGATACAAACAGCCGCAGGACAGAATCCTTAAGTCCTTGGCCCCCAACAACCTAGACTAGGCCCGATGACCACCATAGCGCCAGCGCCAAGATCAAAAAAACTAGGTCAACATGCTCACCCTGCATATAAGTGATTAGCGGGAATGTTCGAAAGCTTGATCGGAACTATGAGAACCTACCAGGAGAAACCCAGCACGACCCGGGCAATTGAGGTCTCCACGTTGTAGGCAGTGTATATGCCATGTCAGCAGCGTCCAGCGCAGCATCAGCAACGAGGTTCTGAAGCATCCCCCAGTATCACAAGACGCAAGCTAAACAGGAGCGATACAGATGCCTTGGGAACATGTGCCCGGGTTACAATCGGTGTTGTTGCGGCATCGAGGGTCTGATCCAGGTTGTATGACCACTCCGGGGCCATACTTATCTGAATTGAGGCAGATGCCGTCGTAACAGACTCCTGGGGAGCAGTCGACATTGGCGCGGCATTTGGTGATCTTTCGGGGCTTCACAAATCCACGGTGAGAAATTCGAGGAGAGCCTGTGGTGTAGATGCTGTTAGTACATTCGGGGTATACATTGACGGCCATAGAGATGTGGCTCACTCTGGCCTGTTCTAGACAGTAGATTCTTGTTTTTGAATGGGAGGGGGATGGCAACAGGAGCAACAAGGCCGACAAGAAACATGGCAATAAGGGTTAGAAACTTCATTGTGACGGGGGTGGTGTTGGTAAAGAGATGGAAGCTCATAGAAAAGGATTTCGATGAATATTTAAAAGAAAAAAGGTATATATTGAAAAAGAAGGCTAGTAGGAAAGAACCCGCAGATAACAAGGTTGGCCGGTTGGGGGGGGGGGGGGAAGAGTTATTTATAGGGGTAGATATTTCAAGTGTAGGCAAAGTATTAAGCGTATAACAGCTGGGATTACTTTGACTTTATAACTTAGCTCTCTGAGAGAACGTTGTACTCGTCCCACATCTCTTGGTCCTTATAAGCCCTTGGTCACACTACTTATGGATCCAGTCAATCCCCTGCAGATCAGCCTTCGAAGAACTGCGATTATGTTGAGCAAGTTTTTTTACCCTCATGTCTCTCTGCTACATACCCATCTGCAATGACAGCATGGTCTTATGTGCTGAACAGCTAGCCCTCTCATTTAAGCTCTAATCGCACTGTCAGTTTGTTTCAATGCATACTGTAGCAATCTTGCTCTTCAGCGGTATCTCGGCGTTAAGCAAAGAACGAATATGAGGCATGATAGCTGGCGAGAAACATTATAATAATGGCATAGTCAATGACTTTTACATGTCGCTTCAAGTAATTATTAAGTTCCCAAGCAGAGATCTCTTATTTTTTGTATACTTCATTGTGATCGAGAATATATATCTATATAGGTATAACACATAGAACTAATCATATTTGCGGTAGGTAAATCATCAAGAGCGACTGCTGATCTGCAAAATGGTACTTATTGTGGGATAGCAGATGATATGGTCTGAGGCTGTTTGACTATTCTTGTATACTGGCTAGCGCAGGCGTCCACACGCTCGCCCGCATAAAGACAACCAAATGCAATAAACTCGTGTAGAATTAAGCTAGGGTGATATTATATCTAATCCCCGACCACCTGGCTCTCAGGATATCGGAAGGAACTCACTGTATACCAAAGATTAGAATAGACACTGTGGTAAAGACTGTAAGTGCACAGCGGCTTGATTATGGGTGTTCAATCCGGTTAGTTATCTACCTGTTATCACTGCTGTCTAAAAGCTTGAAATAGGGAGAATTAGGACGCGTGATATTGCCGAAGTTTATTGGCACAGATCGACTGTTGAAATATTCCAAGTTTATACTGGAACCTAGAGTGACCAGAGTCCCCTTTGATAATGTAAATACTCTGTCATTCAGCTGACTATTGATCTATTGTGAATAGGAAGAAATCACAGTCGACAAAATCTCTCCAAGCTTTGCTCTAAGCGAGTCCTTCCTAGAAGGATTTATTCTCGTGATTAATCCTGCTCTGATGAAAGCCTGGTCCCATGTAAGCATGACCGAAGCTAAGATTGTTAGGGCGTCAATTTGAGATAGTTCCATAGGAAGAGTATGTCGGTTTGTGTAGGGCTTCTGAAATGCCGGAGATGGAAATGAAGACCTGATGATAGACGTCACTTGGAGCTTAGAGGAGAAGGGAAGGCTGTTGTAGAGGTATAGAATATATTCAAAGAGCAGATCACTGCTTACTTCATGCTTGTGCTTATTTGAACTTAAATACTCCATCGCGTCCTGTACACTCATTCAATTGACCATTTTCCCTTGACCAAACGGTTGCAGATCGGTTTGTATATCTGTGCTAGTACTGTACAATAGCAAATGCCCATAATATTACCGCGGCCATTATCCAATTAAAGAGCAGGCAAGACCATGTTCCTATGTATGCAAGTCACCAGGACATGCTTTTGATTTGATCGACAAGAACTTTTGACGTCGTAAGTTCATGACTTCTGCGGCAAACCCGGAGTGTAAAAGTGCTTGGCTAACCAAGCCACGGCATCCCCCACAGCGCGAATGCAGTGATGCTCTCTCCCGAGCTTCACATAAGGCAAACAGTCTTGTGAAAAGAAATGATCCATTTATTACACCACTACCAACTCAACCACGATGTTCCTCGCTAATAGAAAAGGCCGATTCAACGTCTCGATCACCTCTTCCACCACGGGCCTCCCGAGCGAGCCAGTGTATGTTGCGTAGCCGGTGTTCCCGCATATATTTCTTTTGTTCATATGGTATTTCAAGCTTTTGTTCATCATCCTGGAACCCGTTGGTTGCGAGAGAATGTACGGAATAACCGATAAGGACAGCAGCGATGCAGCCAATGAGGACGATGACGACGATCGCTTCGTACGAAAGACCCATGTTCTATGATTGATATTTCATTAGCTTCAACCATACACGCCGAAGACCAGGAGAAGTATAACTCACGATTATAAAGAGGGACTGTTGTATATAAGAAAGATAAAGTTCAATAGATGGTATTCAAGAGCTCCACAAATGAAATAGTATGTATATATATATATGACTTGAATTGAAGATGAAAGAGTGACTTGAAGAACGAAAGACTCTGCTTGAACACCATCACCTCCCTCCTTTTACTCTTATTTATACCCCTCTTCCCATTGACAAAGGACTAAAAGAAAATCTATTCATAGCCTGACAATTTCACTAAAAAATCCATGAATGTTTGGTTCATCTGCCATCTACAGTATCAAATCTTGATATCGACTTTTCATTGGACGGCTTAATACAACAGGCTAAACCATAAAACGTTAGTCACTTTTCTTATGATGTCATTTGCGAGCGGGCCAATCAGAGCACAGGCTAGTAGATGCAAAAAGTAACGATAGCTCGAGCATTAAGAACCCCCAAGTACGACTAGTGGGAGTAGCAATAGGAGGCTGACTCCAGATTTTCTAGGCTAGTACGGGCTACGCAGGTACCGACGAATGTTATTGGGCACCCGGACTGACCTGGAGGTCTTGGCTATGCTAATTGTACTTAAGGAGTTAAGATTGAAAGGGCCAAAGCCCGAGATTGATTGGGGGCCAGGTCCATTCAGAATGAGGCTGGAACATGTCACTTTTGCTCCGTGCTCGTTATCATGGGTGTGAGTTGGCTATCTTGACGTTCGGTGAGTTTAACCTATCTTGAATGTAGCTTTCTTTAGCATGGCTACGTTTAGGCCGGTGATACTGCGCTAACCTATTTGGGTACTTAGGGCTTGTTTCAGGCTCAAGGTTTATCTTGGTCTCTGGGCTGTCCTCTAGTAACCCGGTCTACAATATATTAGCCGTTGTTCTCATGCAACTGTTGGTAAAAAGAGAGAGACTGAGAAAATCTCTTTTTCTCTCTCTCCTGTGCGTGTGTGGACCATTTTAGCTGCTAGAGACACTCTATAATTGTAACTAAGCTGTAGGGTACGTGTTGATACGGGAATAATAAAGCATCAATTGGACATATTTGCATCGCCTCAAATCTTATGAGACTGAATCACTCTATTTACAATAAAAATTGAGGCTAGAGCAACATCTTATGGCGCACTGAAGTATACATTGCCAGCTCAAATCGCCCAAAGGCATGTCCTTTAAGCCAGTCGCTTGCCAAGTACAGCACCATAGTAAATGGTAGCACCGAGACAGACCAGGTTGATCAAGCTTGATAAGCCGTGGAGTCGGCCGAACTTCTTGTTAAGAGCCACCATCTCCTTGGAGTGGGGAGCAGGGTCATAGCTCTTCTTGCCATCACGGGTTTCTGGGCAATTAAATCAGCGCGTTTCTCGTTAGCACGAAGCTGATGATCTTACCCTGGTGCTTTCTTTCACGCATGGTGTTAACAGTCAGAGGGCGAAGCACGGCCATGTTAATAAGTCCGGTCACAGCAGCCGTGGCCATAGGGACGAAAGTATTGGGGTTCTCCAAGAGTCCGGAGATGCCGAGTGGCTGTCCATTGTTGCTGGCTGTCAAAGCAACTAGCACTGGAAGTGCCGTTTGAAGAGAGAAATAAATGGGGAATGTGGCTGTCTGCAACAAAGCAAACTGAGGTCTGGGAAGGGCCCTAAAGGCTACAATCCCGGAAACGAAGGTCTATTCAGTTGAGAATTAGACTGGTAATGGCGCTGGATGTTGCATGATCATGGTACCTGATACACTTGGACACCGAGTAAAGTGCCATAGCTGGAAAGATCAATAAGCAAGAGGTTTCTGGGAAGATTGCATGCCTGTGAATACTAACCTTAGAATGTGATACGGGCGGGGGTCAATCATAGTGGAAAATGGAACAGTTGAGTATGTATTCGGATCAACAATGGATGGTCCGAGGGAGTCGGTGATGTAACAGGGAAACGCTCCGCTTTTAGTTTTCCGCACCCGTCGTCCCTCTCTGTCCGCCTCACCGCTCACATGATTGATTAGGTAAGTTATGAATTTTTTTTTCTATAGAGTCACCAAAAGCGGATATTCGCGCCCACTTTTTTTTGTTCTTCCCCCCTCCCTAGTATTCTACTAGGGGGGCTAACTTTCAAATTCTGCAAAATGAAGTACGTTCTGGTTTCTGGAGGTAATTGCTTTCCGATCTATGTTTTTCTGTCATTTTTTTTTTAACGGCCCTCTGCAGGTGTCATCTCCGGCGTTGGCAAGGGCATCATCGCCTCCAGCTGTGGGTTGCTCTTCAAGACAGCGGGTTTGACTGTCTCTTCCATCAAGATCGACCCCTACCTTAATATCGATGCTGGTCTTATGAACGTGAGTGTCTACAAACTTCTTGAACATCTCAATCGCCGTATAAGCTAATAGATTTCGATATAGCCTCTAGAGTTGGTCCCACATGATCCCCCCGTATACCTGCATTCATTGACACAATAAATAGACACGGTGAAGTGTTCGTTTGCGACGACGGTGCAGAAACAGATCTGGATCTTGGAAACTATGAACGCTATCTCGGCGTTACTCTTGGCGGTGACAACAATATCACTACCGGCAAGATCTACCACCATGTCATCACCAAGGAGCGTCGTGGAGATTACCTTGGAAAGACGGTGCAGATCGTCCCCCATCTGACGAATGAAATCCAGAACGTACGTCCTAGTATTTAGCCTAACCTAGTTAGGAAGTGCATTAACGTGATATGTAGTGGGTTGAGAAGGTCGCCAAGGTTTCTGTGGATGAGTCTGGAAGGGAGCCTGATGTCTGTATCAGTAAGTACACCCAAGAAAATAATGTGTTAGGGCTTGCTAACCCATGTATCAGTCGAAGTGAGTACAGGGAAACACCGAACGATCGCATCTTTGACTAATTTAGCATTCTCTAGTTGGGCGGTACTGTTGGAGACATCGAGAGCGCACCATTCGTTGAAGCCATGGCTCAGCTCCAAAGACGAGTTGGCAAGGACAACTTTCTTCAAATCCAAGTCAGCTATGTTCCTCTAATTGGCTCGGAGCAGAAGACCAAGCCTACCCAGAGGGCTATCAGTGATGTCCGTAGTGCTGGTCTCAGACCTGACATCATTGCATGTCGCTGCGAGACGCCCCTGGAGGAGGCAACTATTCAAAAGATCGCCAATTCTTGCCAAGTGGAACGGAATCAGGTTGTTGGCGTACATAATGTCTCTACCACATATCAGGTTCCTATCCTTCTGGCGCAACAGGGATTCCTTAGCACTCTTAGTGAACTCCTTAAAACCGATGCAATTCCCAAGGATCAGAAGCTTGTTGACAATGGTAAGCTCATCTGGCAGGAATGGCAGGGCTTGGCTATGAACCAAGTGCATTCCCTTGAGACTGTGACGATTGCCTTGATTGGCAAATACACAAGCTTGCATGACTCATATATGAGTGTGAGCAAGGCGCTGGAACATGTGAGTTTGAACTACCATGTAGACGTTGTGTCGATGCTAATTGTCCACGAAAGGCGTCCATGCATTGCCGGAAGAAGTTGAATCTGATCTGGATTGAATCGACTCATCTTGAAGATGAGCACAAGACAAACAGCCCTGCGGAATACTATTCCGCGTGGCATAACTTGACTACCGCCAACGGAGTAAGTTTTATCCTCTCTGGCAAAGTCTACTGAATACTGACATTTATAGGTTCTTGTCCCCGGTGGCTTTGGTTCGAGGGGTACGACCGGTATGGTTTTGGCCGCCCAATGGGCCCGTACCAACAACGTTCCCTACCTTGGTATTTGCCTTGGTATGCAATTGGCTGTGGTCGAGTTTGCTCGACATGTCTGCGGTATGGATAAGGCAGACAGCGCCGAGTTCGACGAGACCTGCGAGCAGCCTGTTATTATCTACATGCCTGAGATCGATAAGACTAAGATGGGTGGTACAATGCGCCTTGGAAAGCGGGCGACTGTGTTCCAGTCTGGTACCGAATGGTCTCGTTTGCGCAAGCTGTACGGGGAGAAGCAAGAGATTTGGGAGAGACATCGCCATCGTTATGAGGTGAACCCTGAGCTTATCGGCCAGCTGGAGCAGGGTGGACTGTCCTTCATTGGAAAGGACGAGGCCGGCGAGCGTATGGAAGTCATTGAGTTGAAGGATCATAAGTGGTACGTCGGGGTTCAGTTCCACCCCGAGTACCTGAGCCGAGTCCTTGCGCCTAGCAAGACCTTCTTGGGCTTCTTTGCCGCTGCTGCCGGATGCCTCGAAGAGATCACCGAGGCTTATAAGGACCGTCACGATCTCAGTTCCAAACTGCCTATGGTTTAGGATCGGCGTTTTTGCTCTTGGGGTTAAAGGATAAAGAAAGCGGAGATATCATACCATATTATAGACATAGTACAATGAAATAAAATTATGAAACAAGACTCATTAACTGTCCATGTAGCAATGTTGAATACTTGATGATTTATTCAGAATGCCACGCACCGTTATATGCTGAACTTGTTCTTTCCACGCACCTTCCGCATGCCCATGATGTCATGTGCCTTCGCGTCCCGCCTTCACCCAAACGGGAAATATCACGCGTCTGCCTGGCCATCGTGTCGCCTAGCGGAAGGTGCCTTGTGCCTTATACATCTAGTTTAAATGTCGACTTTTCTTGGGTAGTCTCATGATTTAGACCGCACCAAATTCACAATGGCGGACAAGGAAGCAACTGTGTATATTGTGGACGTTGGGAGGTCCATGGCAGAATGTCGCAATGGCCGTTCAGTGACTGATTTTGAATGGGCCATGCAGTATGTCTGGGACCGCATTACAGGGACAGTGAGTGCCATCCGCCGCAATGGAGCTTTATTTGTTATATAACTTGCTCAATTCTAAATAAGGTGGCCACTGGCCGTAAAACTGCCATGATGGGTGTGATCGGACTCAGGACAGTTGGTGTGTATACTTCTGAATATTGTATGCGGTTCATACACTGATCAAAAAATAGAGACGTCCAACGAACTCGAAGATGACTTGCATTTCTCTAACATCTCAGTTCTGTCAAACATCAAACAGTATGCTTTTCATGATATGATAGATTGGCTCGTGTGCCAAACTGACGAGGACGTCAAGGTTTCTTATGCCAGACATTCGAAAACTAGAGGATGAATTGAAACCAAGCAAAACGGACAAGGGAGACGGTAAGGTTGTTGTAAACCACTAGGGTCTATTATCTACTTACTAAACTTTGTTCTCTAGCTATTTCTGCTATTATCTTGGCAATTCAGATGATCGTCACTCATTGCAAGAAGTTGAAATACAAGCGCAAGATCGTCTTGGTCACCAACGGACAGGGGCGCATGAGCGATGAGGACCTGGACGAGATAGTGAAAAAGGTCAAGGAGGATAACATCGAACTTGTTGTTATGTCAGTGATTTGCTACAAAACAGCAACGAAACAAAAGCTAACTTCAAGCAGGGGGATTGATTTCGATGACCCTGAGTATGGTTACAAAGAAGAAGACAAAGACCCTCGCAAGGTAACGATATCTCTCGCGTAGCTTGATTCTTATCTAATGATCAAAACAGGCCGAAAATGAAACACTCTTGCGTACCCTCGTGGAAGATTGTGATGGAGTCTATGGAACATTCGAGCAGGCTGTGGCTGAACTGGACATTCCCCGTGTCAAGTCTGTTAGGTCAATGGCAAGCTTCAAAGGATATCTCCAACTAGGTAACCCAGAGGAGTATGACTCTGCTCTCCGCATTCCTGTCGAAAGGTACTATCGGACTTACCCGGCCAAGCCGCCGACCGCAAGTTCTTTCGTCCTGCGCTCAGAGCCTGAAGCTGGACAGGAAGAGGCGGATTCATCTGAGGCTGCTGCCGCCCAAAAAGGGAGCCAGTCTGGTGATGCTGGACTCACAACTGTGAGGACCATGAGAACATATCAAGTTGAAGACAAAAGTGCACCGGGTGGGAAAATCGACATCGAACGAGATGACCTCGCCAAAGGATATGAGTATGGACGGACAGCAGTTCACATTAGCGAAACTGATGAGAACATCACGATACTCGATACATTCGCAGGGTTGGAGTTGATGGGCTTCATCCAAACAGATCAGGTATGTCTTGCTGAAGTCGCCTTGGTGCATGCGCTAAGACACAAGAATAGTATCAACGTTATATGCACATGTCCAACACAAACATCATAATCGCACAACGTGCCAATGACAAAGCAGCTCTTGCCCTTTCATCCTTTATACACGCGCTTTTTGAGCTAGAATGCTATGCTGTTGCTCGTCTAGTTATGAAAGAGAACAAGCCACCAATTATAGTCTTGCTCGCGCCCTCGATCGAGCCCGATTACGAGTGCCTCCTCGAAGTCCAGCTACCATTCGCGGAAGATGTCCGAACGTATCGCTTCCCTCCTCTGGATAAGGTGATTACTGTTTCTGGAAAGGTTGTGACGCAACATCAGAATCTTCCTAATGGCGATTTACTCGATGTGATGGGCAAGTACGTGAATAGTATGGAGCTTGTCGACACAGATGAAGATGGGTAGGTTTTTTGCCTCAAAAGATTCCAAATATCTTGTTGACAAACCAGGAACCCAGTGGAGACCTTCCCTATCGACGACTCGTACTCGCCTGTTTTGCACCGGATTGACGCCGCCATCCGTGCTCGGGCTATACATCCTGACCAGCCCATACCTCCTCCCTCAGAGAGACTGACAAAATTCTCACATCCGCGAGAGGATCTCATCCAGAAATCGCAGAAACACCTAGAGAAGTTGATCGAGATAGCCGATGTTAAGAAGGGTTGGACATTCCCCCACAACCAAATCTGTCAGGCTGCTAATTCTGTTACCAGTTCCTCCCAAAGCGAAGGGCCGCAAGCGCACTCGCGAAGCCGAAAAGCCGCTCTCTGGACTCGACGTCGACGCCCTGCTTCATCACGAAAAGCGCGCCAAGATATCTCCCAACAATGCCATTCCCGAGTTCAAGCAGACTCTTGCACAAGCCGAGAATATTGAGGCCATCAAAGACGCTACAAAGCAGATGATGACCATCGTTGAAGATCAAATCAAACACAGTCTCGGTGATGCTAACTACGACCGGGTCATTGAAGCGCTGGGAATGATGCGTGATGAGTTGGTATCTTACGAAGAGCCTACCTCGTACAATGACTTCCTGAGCCAGCTTAAAGATAAGTTGTTGCAGGAGAAGCTTGGAGGAGATCGACAAGAGCTGTGGTGGCTTATTCGACGAAGCAAGCTGGGACTTGTCACCCAGCGCGAGTCGGATCAATCTAGAGTTACCGATACGGAGGCCAAAGAAGTAAGTCTCATTAACATGAAAGAATGACTTAGACTAAATGTGGTTTACAGTTCATGTCCGCAAAATGAATGTTGAGCAGGTGGTTCCAGATTGGGCTGGACGACAACCGATATGACAAGTAAACGATATCATTATAATAATGCCATAACTCCCCTTTCAAATCCCATGCTCGCTAGAGTAGACCAACCAGGCCAAAGCGTAGGATGCCTGTAGAACGCTCCAAATGGTACAAAATGATACAGGGGCATAGACCCGACTAGGATATCTTCCCTATCCTCTTCTTCCCAATATCGATTTTACGGTTTACCCTGTCCAAATCATTAGTCAAAGAATGAGAAATCCAACCGTAGAAGGGAAACCAAAACAACCACATACCGTTCAGCATCCTCATTAGCTATCGACAGAAGGGCGTTCTGAATCTCCACCTCCTCATTGATAGCAATGCCCAATTCCTTCTGCCTTCGTATAATCTTCAACAACTCCTCCACACTCTGATCCTGGTCTTCCATAGTCTGCCTCTGCAACTGAAGCACTCCCTGGTTATCCAGTTCCCGCGTCCTCTCGGTCTCCTTCCCCAAAACCCTCCCCGACCTCGCGGGCTTCCTACTCGCACTCCCAACCAGCGCCTCCTTATCCTGCGCTGAAGCTACCGCATTATCCACCCGACTCTTAGCCGCCATAGCATTCAACAAATCCTCCAACCCATCCTTCTCCTTCCGCGCATTAATAAGAAGATCCTTCCTCCGCCGCAACTCCCCATCCCCCAACGAACTACCCCTTCCCCTCCCACCAGGACTCTGCGCACGATTCGCCGTCTCTCCCATAACCTTCAACCCTTCCTCCAACGCCGCAATCAAACTCCCCGCCCTCACAAGACTACTCTTCGCGCGCGCCGAACTCTCATGCTGCTTCTGCGGCGTCGTCTCCTGATCCCGCCGCGTCAAATGCAACCTCGCATCATGCAAATGCGACTTCATATCGCGATACACATCCAACCACAGCGTCGGATCCGAGATAGGATTATTCGGCCCGCCCGCGCCACTACTCCCGGGGTCCGTAATCGCCGCATGAAGTCTCGTCGAGGTATGCGAAGTGTTCGCGGCCGACGGCAGATTCAGGAACGCGCGCCAGGCGGGCGAGTTGCGCCATCGGGCATCTTCGGCGTTGTTTATGGCCTGGAGATAAGCTTCTAGGGCTTGGCGGCGGTCTTCGCGGAGAGAGGCGTTTGAGACGGTGTTTTTGAACCAGGTCTTTGACGGTAGGGGTGCCGGTGGGTCGGCGTTGGTTTGTGTTACCAGGGTTTTGTGGAAGGCGAGGAAGTCTGAGTAGCGTTTGGAGATCGTGAAGGAGCGAAGTGGGAGGCGGAGTGTTAGGTTGTAGACTGTGTACGGGGGTGAGGTTGGGGAGAGACTGGTTGTTGGGATTGTGATTTCGAGGTTTGGGGACATTGTTGTTGTTGTTTTTCTTTTTTTGGTTTTTAGGGGGTCATGGGGTTGGGAGGTTCCTTTTTTTTTTTCTTTTTACTTCTTCTTCTTCTTCTTCTTCTTTTCTTGGGGTTCTTTGTTTGTTGGTTAAGGAGTGGGTGTTTGTGAGGGATTCATGGATTGGGAGGAGATTGTCGCCATGGATTGGCGGTGGTGGATGATGTGGTTTGGGGGGGGGGGGGGGAATGAGGGAGGTTGAAAGTAAAGTCGGGGAGCATGACTGATAAGCTTGTCAGTCCCCGGTTCTTAACTTATTTGTGCCTAACCGGTAATGACGCAAGGCTCACCGTTTTACTGACTCGTCAAGACAATATGCTTGATTTACTGTTACTGAACACAATGGTTTGTATGTATTATGGATTTATTCCCATTTTCAACAGTGAAGGGCGATTGATTGGGGTATCTTATTTATGCAGTTTGTTTCACCTTCCACTGATAAGCGCTGATTAAATGATCGTCGGCCAGGAACCAAGCATCCGACTAGTAAGTACTTCAGGGATTATGGACAAGGATAATCAACTTTTCAAAACAAAGTCGTCGACTCGTTCCAGGGTTCTCTGGCCAAAAGTAAATCGCGCTGGCCATAGTACTCTCCGACAACCGTAATGATCATATCCAGCATGGCCCGGGTTTGCATGGCGACATCGGCGGCATTATCCTCAGTCTTGGACTCGTCTTCCTGAGCCTCGGGTTCAGTCGATTTAGATTCATCGCCTTGCTCAATTTTAGCCTGTAGCCGGGCTTTAGCCATTTCTAAGTCTTCGGCGGGAGGCTCTTGTTCCACGTCCGGCATGTCGTGGTCGAGAGATTCGCCAGGAGGATCACAGGGAGCCTCCACATTCTCTTTCGTTTCTTCCTCCGCACGAGGCTGATCATCAGCTGGATTCTCATCATCCGATTCTTCACTCGACAGGTTCCCATCGGCTCCAGCCGAGCGCTTCTTCTCATCTTCCTCCCGCATTTTCCGCAAGATCTTCGCAGCACGCTTTCCCAAGTCCCGAATCTCACCCACTTCCTCAGACGCCAACTGCCCAACATCGCGACACTTGCCCAGTAAACCCCAAGCCCAAGCACCGATCCGTCGAACACGCTCCGCATCTCCACTCCTTATATTCTCCGACATTAGCTTCGCCATCACTTCCAGCACCCCCAGCACACTATCCATATCCATACACGCTAACTGCACCGTCTGCGGGTCCGCCACCAACAACAGCCGCCGCCACTCCTTGCGCGCGTCTCTCGAGCGTCGCGGCAGACTTATCGGATGCGACTCATCTAGCGCCGCTATAGCCGTTGACGGTGGCGTACATTTTAGTATAGACCGGAGGAGCAAGAACCGGTGGTGTAGAAGGTTGTAATAGCTCGATTGCGCATCTGATTGCGCTGGTTCGGTGGTATCCGGTTGTTCCTTCGGAGTAGTTGAGGGAGCCGCAACATATACCCCATCCACGTAGAAGCCTATCTGGGCGATATCTGTCTTCTTCATCTTCTTCTCTTCCGCGGGTTGAGGTTCGTTTAGGTCCTGTTCGGCTTCACTTTGTTTGGTTTCCTCGACGGGCGGATCTGTCGGTTGAGGCGCGGTAAACAAGAAAGGTAGTGAATTAGCCTCTGACCTATTATTTCAAAGTATGGCCAGCATTAGCTCCAGAATCGAAATAGAATCGAATCGCATTCATCGCGGGCTGCAGATAAGCAAATACACGCAGGCGTTTAGCAAGCGGAAAGGCAACAAAAAGGTACAGTTATAATCAAGCAAAGAAGGATTAATCTGAGCTTACCGGACCATGCGAAGATATTCCATGCCGTCCTCTGCTGGACCGTAGAATAATTCATCGTCACCGGCGGTGTCGAGACCGGGGAAAGCGCTCTTCTGTCCGTAGATCGGGTGGTTCCGAGGACGTTCGTACGGAGTTACGGTTGGTGTCATCTCGTCTTCATCTTCTTCGTCTGCGTAAGAAGGACGAGATCGCTTCGCGTAAGGGGTCCCGCCAGTCAGAGAACTGGGTTGTTTGCGCTTATCGGGTATGCTGGACATGGCCTTTGGTGAGAATGGGGGAGGAGGGTATTTTTGAAGATGTTCCTGGACTGCTCGGCGGACTAAAAAAGATGTTTGGGAGGTCCCACAGGGAGCTTGGGCCACCTCTAAATATATATGTATTTCAATGGATTTAATTTACTTCTTCTTTTACCATCTACACAAACGTATTTTGCAGCGTGGAATGTGCTAATATAACATGTCGGTCTCATGATCCCATTATCTTTTGGTTTTTTTTTTTTTTATCTCATGCAGGTATAAAGTACTCTTGATCGTCTATACCAACCCTGTTTCCACCCGAACTAGAACGCTTATGGGCGCAGACGCTGGGGGTCACGAGGGAACAAGGTCGCCAAACGAACGTTGGGCAGACCCAGGAAGAACATGACAATACGGTTCAGACCAAGACCACCACCGGCGTGGGGAGGGCAACCTTGACGGAAAGCATTCAGGTAGTCCTCGAAGCCCTCCTGGTCGGGGTTGATGCCCTTGGCGCGCATCGACTCCATCAGCTCGTTGACGTCGTGAATACGCTGGGCACCGGACATGATCTCCTCACCACGCATGAAGAAGTCATATGAGTTGGAGAAGCGGGCATCCTTGGGGTCGGCCTTGGTGTAGAAGGGGCGCACGGCCATGGGGAACTTGTCCAGGACGTAGAAATCAGTGTCGTACTTCTCGCGAATGATCTGGCCAAGCTGCTTCTCCATGGCAGTGCTGAAGTCGTTCTCGAATCGCTCCTGCTCGGAGACGTCGACACCAGCCTCCTTCAACAGAGCGACACCGTCCATGTAGTTCAAGCGCAGGGCCTTGCCATCCTTGGGGAGCTTGAAGTCGCCAGCCTTGGGGTAGGACTTCTGGATAACAGCGATCTGATCCTTGTAGCGCTCCTTGAGCTGGGTAAGAATGAAGACGAGGAGGTCTTCAGCGAAATCCAAGACCTCGTGGTAGTGGCTGTGGAAGGTCTTCTCGAAATCAAGACCGGAGAACTAGAATAAACTCAGTTAGCTATGTTAAGACGAGTCATGTCAGGGGTTGTTGCCGCCTTACCTCAGTCAAATGTCTGTGGGTGTTGCTGTCCTCCGCACGGAAAACAGGAGCAATCTCGAATACGTTTTCCATGTCACCGGCGATACACATCTGCTTGTACAGCTGCGGGCTCTGTGCCAAGTATCCGTTCCTCTTGAAGTACTTGACCTCGAAAACATTGCTACCACCTTCCGTAGCGGAAGAAACCAGCTTAGGTGTGAAGATCCACCGCGAGCCGCTCTTGATCATGTACTCTGCGAACAGCTCTGCAACGCCGCTGGAAATCCAGGTAATAGCCTGGCTAGTCTCGGTCTGCAGATCGAGGACACGGTTGTCGAGACGGGTCTTAAGAGTGACGATGGGGACACCATCAGCGTCAACCTCATTGCCTTCCTCGGTGGTCTCCGGAGGCGGTCTCTCGGCATCCTTGACCTGCATAGGAAGCTGTTGAGCGGCCTCAGCAATCATGTAGACCTTGCGGATGTGCAGTTCATGGTTACTGAGAGTAGCCGAGGCAATGGGAACCTGGGGCTTCTTGACGACACCAGTAACCTGCACAATGGAGTTGACGTTCAATCCACCGGTGTACTTGACCATCTGTCTCGAGATAGGCTCCGCAGCGGCAATAACAGCCTGCACCTTTTTGCCCTGCTGTCTGAGCATCAGGAAGGCCAGCTTAGCACTCTGAACACGGGCATTGTCCACACGAGCGACCACGGTGATCTCCTTCTCGTACTGGTCGTCGGTGATATCATTGAACTTTGTGGTGGGGAGGACATCTTCAGATTCGGGGATATTGCCGTAGAGATCCTTTGCGGTGTCGTTGGCCTCGGCGGCAGCTGCCTGAGCCTTCTCCTGGGCGGCGCGCGCAGCAGCTTTCTCGGCCTTGGCCTTCTCCTTTGCGGCCTTCTTCGCAGCGTTCTTGCTGGCGCTCTTGCTCTGCTCCGCACCCTCCGCGGGGGCTGCGGCGGGGGTCTCCTCGGGCTTAGGGCGAGTGGGCAATTCGGAGTCCGCCATGGTTAGTTGCGCGAATAGTTCTTTAAGAAAGAAGGCGATAAGGGGAAGTCAACAATCAAACCGATGACGGCGTGAGCTTTGCACCTTCAATCAATCAATACTTTGACTCACCCCACCCGCATGGAGGCAGCCCTAAGCCCTATGAGGGGCTGTGTCACATGATTCGGACCGCCATGTTTACACCTCAGGCACTCACTTAGTTGTGCGCTCAGCGGTGGTCCCCGAGCTGCGGAGTAAGGCTAGCGGCTAGTAAGTAGTGGACGTCGCTGGAGAGATTTAGCCCTAATGCTTGAAGTTGTATCTAATTTCGAAGTCTTATGCGCGAGCAGTATGTGAAAGGCAATCCCGCGCATTTGTCTAGTTAATCGAACGGCCGAACTAAAGCTGAGGATAGGAGCTCCAATGTCTTCGAATCTTATTAGAGAAAGATCATTGAACGGATGAAATTAGTATAGTATCTCTATACATTCAGCAGCATGAAAAGTTTCAAGGTGAGTTTAAGGAGGAACAGCTGCCGATCTTGTCTATATGCTAAAGCTTCTACTGCTGCAGCATTAGTCTGTAGGTAATGGTTCGCGAAAGCATGACCACCTCTACATGATGTTTCTAAACCTACCATTTAGAGGTCTTCAAGCCATACTCGACAGCCTTCTTGACATTGTCGTGGATGGAATCTGGTGTCCATGTAGGTTCCCCTCCACTGTAGACTCCAGTCCGCACGAGAAGCGAATGCCAATTGCTGCCATGAGGACTCCTATATGTATTGGCGCCCTGAATATCGGATTCGGGGTTGTCTCCGATCATGTATACGTTCCGTAGAGGTATGTTGGCCTCTGCACCAAAAACGCGGGAGCGGTTCCGCAGGAGCTGATTCTCTGCAAATTCATAAGTTCCCTGGTACGGTTTTCCGATAACCGTCTTCTTTAGTTCAACGCCTTTGCTCGGGCCACCAGTCGTTGCAGCCCAGGTACCTTCCAACGCTTCCCGGAATCCACCCTGGCCGAGGCGCGGCAGATGGTAGGCTGCAGCCCACCACAGATCGGGATTCGAGAAGTAGAGAGGTGGCTGCCCATCTTGCTGGTAACCCCGGTTCGGCAAGTCTGACTGTCCATTCTTCTCTGAGAGAGTACCGAGGACACCCTGCGACGAAAGTAGGAAATCCATAATTATTTGCGCATCTAGAGCCCAGTCACGGGGGTCATTGTAAACGAAGATGGCGTCAACCTTGAGGCCCTTGGTCGGATCCTTAGGATCTTGGGGGTTGGGGAGTGGTCTGGCGAATGATCTATAGTAGTCCTTGAACACATTCGAGAAAGGCCAAATGGTCGGGTTGGCCATGATGATATCACCGGGTGTGATCACGTTTTTAAAGCCGTACCTGGGGCTTAGGTCAAAATTGCGCCTTATCGCTAATGTTATTCTGGTGCATGCAAATACCGTACCTCTCTGCAACTTGTCGACAGCGGTCGCCATCACCCCCGACTACTAGCACGCACTTGTTTTCGAGAGAACTCTGCTCATCCGGTCCGCGTACGAGCTCCGCAAATGGGGAATGGCTCTGGACGATCACCGAGGGGTCCAATGGCAACTGAAGTTTCTCACTGATTTCGGCCACTCTCTCCGTCTCATGTTTGCCCCCGCCATTTGTCAAGAGAATGAAGGGAATTCCTTGGTCCTTGAGGAGAGCTAATGACTCCGCAGCGCCGGGGATGGGTTTGGAGGATCTGAGAAGGACACCGTCGATGCTAGTCACACAATTAGATATTGAAGCTGAGGCAGGGCTCGGAGGCATAGTATACCTACTCGAAGGCGAAGGCAAAGTCTGGGACCCGAGGCGGGGAGGTGGCTGTCGTTTGAATGAATCGGCGACCGGCACCGGTCTCTAAGAACGAACGAGTAGCCGCGCGATGAAGCAGACCGAAGGACCGACAAAGTCCTTGAGGCCACATTCTGAACAGGAAATAAAGGGATAACGAGGAGGGAAGGGAGAAAATATGGGTTGAAGGAGTGGGAAACAAAAGCTGATGAGAGATGCAGAGGAGTCCAGGTATTGTTTACTCGGAGTAAAGCTAGAGAAGTGGTCACGACTTGTCGGCAATTTATCTCCTTATCGGCCACCGACCCCCATGATATCATATCATTTGCTCCCACTCGCAACCTAAAAGAAAAAAAAGAATGCCATACTATTTATTTAGTCTCTCCCACACTGACTCCACTTGCACCACAAAGATCGGCTTCAGAGTCCAGACAACCTTACCATGGAAATCAGCGATCTGAACGCCCCCGATGCAAACCTCTCACCATATTCATCTTCCCACGGAAGTCGTTGTGCAGATCATTTCCTACGTCGACGGGAATGAGCTCGATCGCCAACAGACCCTCTATGCCTGCTGTTTGGTATCACGCCAATGGTACTCCGCTGCTATCGCACCCCTCTATGAAAGGCCTCGAGTAGACTCCGGGGTCTCCTTCATGAGGTTCACGGAAACCATCAGTCCGCCAATTGGTGCACGGAAGAACAAATTGAATCTCGGCACTTTCGTACATCGATTAAACCTCAGTCACCTCGTCTATCATAGCTCTAACAGCCTCACAGCGAGACTTCTGGGCCGAATCAAAGAGAATCTAGAAGTATTCGTCGCCCCCACCCTAACCTTCTCGTACGTATACCTGTGCACTCAGACTATATATATATATATATATATATCATTCAGAAGATAACTGACACTCCAGTCCAGCATAAGTAGCCTCCCAGCGCTATCAAAATGCACCAACCTTCGAAACCTCGACCTCGCACTTGTCCACGAAGCAATCCCCTTCCTCAACCTCAAACAGGCCATAAGCCGCCTCCACAAACTTGTCACCCTTCGCCTTCCACAGTCAACCATCCTGACCGACCCCGAATCTACTAAAGTACCATGGCCCCCCTCCCTCCACCGTCTCCAGATAAGCGGACGCTTCAACCCCCTTCTAATCCCCACCTTCTCTTGGCCCCCAGCACTCACCAGTCTAACATTGAAAAATTGTTCCGAACTCTCCGTCTCAAACCTGAGCAGCCTCATGAGTAGTCCGCAACTAGGCGAAAGCCTCCAACGCCTCACCATCTCCGGCTCAAACCGCGGTCTAACCCCGGAATCCATCAACGCTATACCCGCCTTTCTACCGAATCTGAACTTCCTAAGCGTACCGGGCGACATGGTGGAAGATTCGTTCTTCATCATCCTATGCCACGTGTCCCCGCCATTGGCGCTAGAAGTACTAGAATTCGGGTTTCCGTGCGTGGACCTTAAGTTAAGCTTCGAGACGAAGACACTGATAAGTGCCCTCGATACGGGGCTGGCGAGTCTTCGCTCTGTCGGGTTCGTGGAGGATCTGGTCACAGACGAGCGCCTGGAAGAGGACGAGGAGATCGATGAGGCTCTCCAGGAACGGGAGAAGCAGCGTAGTGGATCTCAGCCTGGGGCAGAGAGTCGGGATGATAGGGAGCAGGTGGGCGTCTATTATATTTGATTTTATTTATTAATACATTGCACCATATGCATATATGCATACATGCCCAGCTACGATTTATGACTAGACCAAGACAAAAGTTTCTAATTCGGCGGTTTGAAAGATTGTTGCCTGAAAGCGTCTGTTCCGAAATACTACCAATTTTTTGTTCTATATGATGAATGCTCTGTAGTAAATCCATATTAACGTATTGCCATGATCCCAAAACCGACGATTCAAGTAGCGTTATCTAACAAATCAACATGGATAAAACCGCTTTTGACAACTACAATAAAGGCTATGAGATGGAATCGTCACGAAGAGCAGCAAGGGAACATGATCTGAAATGAAAAAAAGAAAAGCAGTTTAGACACCTACAAAGAAAAGGGTAAAGGGGATAGAATAAAAGAGAAGCCATCAAATCTAGCTTGACATCTGGATTATCAAAAATTGGGAAAAGAACAAACGAAACAAGTCCGATCTCATAATGCAGGACTCGTTGCAGGGGTACGCCTCCTGACATGACAACCTCCTCCATTACCATTTACAATTTACAACCTTAGGAAAGGGATGCAATCACAGCCGGTGCGACGCCTTCCTCCTCCGCCCGAACGGTAATCTTCGTTGTGACACCGGTCTTGCTGGAGAATGCCATCTTGATCAGGGCTGCAACCCGGCCACCTGATACCGTCTTTCCGAATAGCTTGAGCGTGTGTGTGCTGTTGCTGAGGGCCACGTCAGTTCCTTCAAGAGGTTGCAAAGATAGCGCGGAGATTAATTGTTCGGTGGCATCTGTAGTATGCTTAGTACTTTGCACGTGGCAAAATTGGCTAGGAAATGGCCTACCTGATATGCCCTTCATGTTGCTAAGTTGCAGAGTTTCGCTTTCTTCCTCTCCGTTTGCACCAGTCTGCTCCCAGACATGATCGAAGCTGCCAGCAAAAGTGGGAATAACATAATCGCTGCCTGTGAGCTCCAGATCTTCGACCTGGTACTCGTCCTCATATCCGCTGTCCTCAGGCTCACCAGTCGTAGGATCGATCTCCTTGCTCGTGAACTTCAGAATATTCGTAAATGATGTGACTGGTACGCTGTTCTCGCCAGCAAGTTTCTTAAACGTAACATATACAATTCCGGGCTCGTTTGTAGCAAGCTTGGGGGCGGGCACGATGAACTCCTCTTCCAAAACATCTTCCTCGGAGGGCGTCACAACAACAGTGACATCCTCTAGAACAGTATCCGGCAGAGTGTTCTTGATATCGTACTGCACCACAATGTGTTCCTTGAAGATATGCTTGACCGCCGTGACGACGTACTCCGTTTCGCTTTCAGTAAGTTCGACGGGAACAGAAGATTTGAGCAAGGTGCCGTACTCCTTGAGCTCTGGAATCCGCATAAGCTCCTCGGCGTACTTCTGGGTGGCAGCAACGGTGGCGGCTTCGGCAACACCATTGGCCTTGCTCTTCGGGGGACCGGTGGATGGAGCCTTGAGTGTGGGGGTTGCAGTCGTGAGTTTCTTGGTCCGTTCTTCGGCCAGGGCTTGCTCCTGAGTAACAACCGGGACCGTAGAGACGTCGAATGCCGCGGCAAACGTCTCTTTCTCTGTCGATGTCACATACATCACGAGCTGGTGCTCGAATGTGGAAAGAGAGTACATAGAGTCTAGATCCGTCAGCAAACAAATCAGGCCAGAGAAGTTTCATCCACTAAGCGTACCGTTCTTAAGGAAAAGCGACGCTGTCTCATCCTCCTCAGCCATTAAACGGAGGTTGAGAGCAGCACGATCACGCACTTCATCATCAGTGTCATCAAGACAGCGTGTGAGAAGAACAGAAACGCTTGACTTCACTTCTGGGTCCTTCTGTCCAACGCCAAACTTGGCCAAGGCTGTCACTGCAGCAGCTCGTACAATTGCATTCTCCAAAACGACTCGGTTGTAGATATAGCGAATGTACTTGGTAGGATGGGAAGTCTTGGGGCCTTCTACACCAAGAAGGTGCAGAACCCGAACGGACAGTTTGGTGAATTCACAGTCTTCAATGAACTCACAGAGATGGGCGAGAGCTGATTTATGTTAGCATTACGAAACATCAAGGGCACGGGAAGGCCTACCATCTTCCCTACTCTCAGGAACGAATTTGATCAGATCAAACATGCTCTCGACGACGCTCCGCTTAAACTCATATCCACCCTCATCCCGCAGAATGCCGCTCAGGAATGCAAGCATGCCGGCCTGCTTGCTGGGGAACTTCAGACACAGCGTGCGAATAGCCTCAACAATAGTAATCTTAAACTCGTCGGTGATATCAGCCATGAAGCCTGAGATCTGCTTCATCAGACGGTCGACACTGGCCTCGTTGCCAGTCTTGAGCAGCGTGGTAATAGCGAAAGTAGCAATGGAGCGGTTGGAGTTTGAGATCAACGATTCGATGTCAGGGTTGCAAACGTTCACCACGTGGGGCTTGAATGTTGCGAAGTTATGAAGAATGCGGATAGCTGCGAACTTGGTGATCGCCCGGGGAGAGGACAGGAACAATTGCAGGACATGGACAGCTTGAGAGGCCTCGGCATCGGTAACATCCCTCATATCGCAAATAGCCTTTGCCGCCTCGAAGTTGACCATTTCGTGCTTGTGTCGGAGCCAGCCATCAAGCATCTGCATCATAGGCTTTCTCAAGCTCTGGTCTTCTTCTGCCAACTTCGCTGCTAACCGCACCAGCAGGACAAGTGCAGCCGGGCTCTTGATCACACCAGCAGCACCATACTGCTGAACCATCTTCACAAGAGCCATACGATCATGCGAGCGCATCTGATAGAGAAGGCCAATTGCGTGGTATTGTGTCATGAAGTTCGACTGCGAGATGGCATGGGTAGAGCTGCCACCAAATCCAAGGAATCCAGTCGATTGCTTTCCGGACGATGCTGCTTCCTGCGTTTCACTCTGCCATCTGCGGACAACATCACGGGCGATCGGGAGGAGGTGGTACGAAGAGACCAGGGCGGCGGAGGAGACCGAGGGGGTCTTGTCAACAATTGCGGTCTTGATCAACCGTTCAATGCCTTGCACAGTCGTGGCCTTTTCCAACAAAAAATTAGCTCACAGTCAGCGATAAGAAGGTTGGCAATGCGCTTACATCGATGATGCGGCACAGAGCACGGATAGCGTTCGCCCGGTAGAGCACATCGCTACCGACGGCGGTATCTTTCATGATAATGCTAGTCGACATAATAACATCCTCGGCAGTGTTGGCAAGCTCTTTCAGAACGAGATATACCATTTGCCGCAGCGATGGGTCTTTGTTCTGGAACAACTTGGAAATACCGAAAAACAGCGTAGTCGCCTCGTTTGTGGGGAATTGCTCCCCGGTGAAAAGGAGGACCGCAATCTTGGTCAGAAGGGTACGACATTGTCGCGGAGAGATCGGGGAGGTGTTGAACAGTCGGGCTAGAAGTAGATAAATAAGGAAGTTTAGCCCACAGGGACCCTGTACACTCAATGCGACCCCGGGGGGATTGTTTGTGATAGTCCCTTACCATCTTGGAAGACGGAGGTTCGATCCAGCTTGATCATAGTCTGGTCGGCGTCTTCATCTTTCTTCATGTAGCTCATGATGACGGGCTGCAGGAATTGCAGCAGCTGAGACTCTCTATCTCACACTGTGTGTATAGGAACTAAACCCCGTTGAAGTGACGTCGCAGTCAATGATCGAGTAAGGGCGGGTCAGGTCCCAATGTTTAGTTATAGGTCGTGCAGGCGGTGAAACAGCGATTAGCGCACCCTCATTATCTTCCAAGAGAGACAGGGGAACGAGGTAGGGAGCGAATACGGGGACGAAGTTGAGTGGAGGATATGAGAAACCCGTCCCAGAGAAGAATGAATGGATGTTCTGCCAAAGCGTCGGACGAGGAGGTCCAGATGGCATCCAACAATCTCCAGGTGGCCTTAGTCTACTTAGGCCTTCCGCGTCTGTGGGCTTAAAGCCACCGTGGCTGACACTGCAAACTATGCAAACACGCGGCATGCATCATCACCGTTCTGAGATCTTAAATATATGGTTGACTGATACGTACCTCTTTCTACTCACTTGGTTTGCTTCTTTTTCTACCCTCTTGATATTCTCTATTTCAATTATTGTACCTTGTCATACGTCATTCCACCATGCAAGTTGAAGTCAACCCGAACGAAGATACAGAATGGTCCGCCTCTGCGCCCCCACCACATTCCCACCCCATACAATCTTAATACTCACCCCGCCGCAGGAACGATATTCTCCGCAAACACGGAATTATCCCGGAGAAGCCTCAGGATCCTGAACCTCTCATTCAAGAAGCTCTTGTTGAAGCGGAGCGCAAAGCCTACGAAAATCGACTAGAAGATAAAGATTTAGACGAACTAGACGAGCTCGAGGACGAAGAGGACGAAGAGTTCCTTGAACAATATAGGTATGGTGCCGCCGACGTTTACGGCTTCATATTGGTAAGATCCGATTGTTAATATGGAATGCAGAAAGCAACGTCTTGCAGAGCTCTCTACACTCCAGAAAACCAGCCTATACAACCAGGTCTACCCTCTTCAGAAAGTCGACTACGCAAGAGAGGTGACTGAGGCATCTAATAACGCCTTTGTACTTGTGCATCTGTCCTCATCAACGAGCGGCAATGCTGAGTCGCAGCGCTTGACGGAGCTATGGCGGCAGCTGGCTACTAAGTTTGGCGACATCAAGTTCTGCGAGATTCGCGGCAATATGTGCATTGAAGGGTATCCGGATAGAAACACCCCGACAATCTTAGTGTATAAGGATGGTGAGATAAGAAGACAGCTCGTAACACTAAAGGAACTTAAGGGCCCTCGGACGACGATCGAAGGTAAAGTCCAATCCATGTCCATCAGTAGAGGAGCTTTTCTCTATGTGGTGTCAAGTCTCGGTATTAATGTCTATGCCTCGATAGATCTCGAAAGAATGCTCTTAGACTTAGGCGCCCTCAAGGAGAGTGATGTACGTTTGAAGAAGCGATCTGACGACTCAGATGACAATCGTCCATCGAAGATAAGGCAGTCTCGGGTAGAAGATGATGATGACGACTGGGATTGAAAGCTACTATAATACTACTGCAACAGTAGAATGGCATGATCACCTTCTCGCCCATGCGTGATGCTTCTCCTTAGTGTGCAGCATCTCTGTGCATCCTATTATCTTCCAACCTGATCAATCAACCCACATCTGGCATGTACTGTTATTTGTATTGTTAATAGTTCTTAAGCAGCTAAGTGGTCCTGGAGACCTATTGTTTGTACAAACAATCATTCCCGAGCCTTACTTCCATTGTTCATCCATTTGAAAGGACGATCCAAGATCGAAGATGGATATCGACCAATCTCCAGAGTTGTCGACATAAAATGTACAGCATGGCATCAATTTTGTTCTGATACACACGATCCACGGGCTCAAGTAGAAGGTTAAATGAAGTTGAAAATATTTTATTTCTCTATTTTGGGTTGAAACGTACGGAGTAGAACTGAGAGGTATAAGATATTCCAGGAGAGAAAGGGTGGAGAAAAGAAGGCAAGGGGAAGGTACAAAAAAAACAAATAAAAACAAAGAAAAAAGATATCGACAAGGACGCGATTTGAACGCGCGACCCCGAAGGGATAAGATAACATCCAATGTTGGATTCACTAGATGACAATTAGGATATGAAGTGTTGTTTGGAGGAAGTAAATGAACATACAGTCTTACGTCTTAACCACTCGACCACCTTGCCTCGGATGAAGGATTTTGCGGCCATGAGGCCAAGTGAAGGGCTTTCTTATACGACCTACTTGTAAGTAGCAATAACACACTAATAAGAAATCACATCGAAGTGTCTTTTACCGCCTGGGGAGCGGTAGCCATCGTTGTGAGAAAGAACTGAAAAATGAAAAGCAAAAAAACGACAAGGACGCGATTTGAACGCGCGACCCCGAAGGGATAAGATATCATCCAAGAGGGATTCACTGGGTGAATATTAGTCATGAACTTAATTTGTACAGGAAAACATGGCAACATACAGTCTTACGTCTTAACCACTCGACCACCTTGCCACTGGTGCATGGGTGATTTCTGATATTTGCCCTGAGTAAAGGTAAAGTTATTCTGTCTCAACATAAAGCAAGGATGTCGTCCAAGGGTCCAACGTACATTTAGGGAAGAAAAAAAGTTCATATGTTTCTTGTCTTCTTTTGATTCGAGGAACTGAGTCTAGCATTCTGGTCGAGAACCAGTTCATAATGTTAAGTAAATATGTAGATGTCTCGCCATGCTTGGATTCTGTAAACAAGGATATCTCTTAGTATAAGACATCACTATCTTTGCATTCTGCTGCTTTCCCTCTCGAACGCATTCTTAAATCTAACCCCTTTATCGTCCGTGTAACCCCCATTCACAAAGTACCTCAGCTCCTCAGGTAAACCTTCTAGTAACTGAGGTTGGAAATGCAGGTATCTTCTCGGTGTCCGGCTGATCTGTACGTAACCAATGCCGTTCAGCCAATCCAACAAAGTCCAAATAGCCACTGTTTCGGCACTAGAGGGCTACTGCATATCGGAGTTGCTTCTTATGGATGGCAACCAGCCTGATCCGGACTGTCAGAGCTACTTGCAAGATGGGTCCATACTGGAAGTCAATATTTACCTCTCAGTTATTATAATCTGTCCTTCCAACTTCGTAATCTCTGGACAAATGCCATTAAGAAGTACATCGATAAGCTTTTCCTTACCTACTGTACCGATAACATGCTTGTATGGAATATGTCTCAAATTAACATCAGCTTGCTTCACCAGGTAGTCCATGATTGTGCTTATCGTTTGACGAAGAGTTGGAAACTTGATTGTTGGGGTGATGAGATAGGACTCCTGGACCTCTTTTAGCATTGAGTATGACAGAAAACGTTTTGATGCGCTTACTAGATTATCTCCATTCGCTTCAACGGCTTGTGATTGGGGGCTTGGTGAAATGCATCGAGAGGTGAATGAAACTGTCTGTTGTTTGCTGGGTTATTGACTTGATCCTAAGTTCCCACGCTTCCGTGATGCAGATCCCGGTATCTCATGATGAAACATTTTTCTTTGGCTACATGAAGGTTCATGCCCCTTGCGATGACATAGATCACACACAGGACAGGATGGGCAATCGTCAATGACGTGCCCATATGCGCGACAGTATGAGCACGGGAGATAAGGACATCTTAGGGTACGATGGGCCCCCATGATACCGCATCCTTCACAGGCAGGTGGATCGGGGTTGTAAGACATGATGGATATTTGAAGCTTGATAGGAGCAACAACTGGCTTTCAGTTGCCGGGAGGTGGTCGCAGATGTCACCATGTCTCATGAGGCATTCTCTGGTTGTGATATTTTTTTTTTTTTTTTTAAAAAAAAAAAAATAATTAAGCAAAAATGGGAGGAAAATGAAAGGAATGAGTTTGAGGCGCAGCTGGGTAAACAAGAGGGGAATTGTGTCTAGTCCTTGAGGGCCGCCTACATATGGGAAATGCAGCCGTAGACGGCCTCAGTAGCTGTCAATTTTAGCATCAGTTACACAGTTTCTCGTATTCTATTTATAAGAATCTCCCAAATTCCAGTAGGAAGTGATATAAAAATCATTATGACCATAAACCGAATGCGCCAATCAACTAGCGCCATAAACACACCGTACCCAGATTCGAAAGAGCAAGCGTCACATCGTAGATTTCAAAACTCAGAGAAGGTCATCATCATTAGCAGCCGCGCTTTCTTCGAGTGCCTTGAGCACCTCGGCCTCGGGGAAAGCAGGGCCTTGTCCATCACACTGAGTTATGTTCTTCAGTCGTTCCGAGACATCTTTGATGTCTACTAAACCGCGCTTGAATAGCTCATGCCCTTGGATTAGGTCCCACGTAGCACCGGCACCGAGTAATTTCTCCCCTGTCTTCGCGCAGGTTGACACTCGATGGAGACGGGATGATTCGCCCTTTGGCACCAGCTCGGAGTAAAAATCTGTAGGCGTATATTTCAACGGCCCTGTCGTGGTTGGCTCGTCTGAGTGGTTATGTGTTCGGTCACCGGAGCCCGAAGTTGCCCGCAGAATCTCATTCTCTGTTGTAAACCGGGCTAACTCCCGCTTCAAGCGTTCGTTATCTGCCACCAAGTTGGATGATGCTTGCTCCAGGTTGTTAACCTTTTCCTCTAACTCTCGCACATGTCGCTCCTTTCGTTCACGAAACGCGCGTTGACTATCGCATCGAGAGAAGAAGAAGGTTAGTCAGGCCAGCTACCCCTCACCGAGAGAGTTGTTGTTTTCTTGCGACAAACACTCCAAAGAAGGTGTTGAACCTACGCTGCTCTGTTCTGGGCCTTGCGCTTCGATTGCGCTGGAGTCATAGACTCCTTTTCCTCGCTACTACTCCGGCCGAAACCTGGTTCTCCATCCAACGACGTCGGCTCGGTCGGTTGGCCGAAGATATCACTGCCAGAGGCGGAATGCTTCGAGAATGACTCGGGTGGAGAGTGTGGCGGATGTCCGAACGATGCGGCGGGGTTCTGGAAGCGAAACGAGGGGTCGAAGGACTGATAAGTCTGTATCCCCTTGCCACGGTCAGTGAAACAGGACTCAGCTTTAGCCGACCAACAAGAGGAATGCGGACCAACGAGGCGAGAGTATCCTGGATGTCATCGGTCTGTGGGTTTCGCTGGTGGTTGTCATCGTCGTTCTGACCAAGGGGCGGCGCTCCTTGCAAGTTGTATAAAGAGAACGGTTGGGATTGGGGATTGGGATAGTATGGGTACTCCATCTCTTAGGTTCTTGAGCGATCTCCTGAACATACAATAGGGGGTTTAAAGAGGAGCAAAAGCCGCGATCGTAAAATAAGGTCGGGCCTAAAAAACCCGGGGGTGGGCATTTACCATTGGGTCTTGGATTTATCCGTGTATTTTTACACACCCCGTATTACATGAACTTCCCTTTCTGTTGCTGTCCTGTATCCGGAAGTAACGAGTATTAGGTATTGATATACAATTCCTAGTCCAGTGGAACTCGTACAATTCAGGTTATGTTGGTCTCCATCCAACCACATACGGCCATTCCATTCATATCCTCAAGGGAAGAAACTGTTAGGCCCAAGTGAGGTCCCATGTCATTGACCCTAGTCACTGTTTTGTTAGGCCTAGTTTAGCCGCCAATCTCCGATGGTACCCAGATAAAAACAGTAATCCAGTTGACACCTCATACCTTACCTACAACTGTAAGGGTCCAAGGTACAAGGATATAGTATATACTGGGTACAACAATACTAGGTCTCGTTTTCCTACACCAAGCCAGGATCTGAAAGCTACAGGGTGAGAGAAGTTGATTACGGAGAATGATTATTCAGGAGCAACAAATAACTTGGATTATATGTCGAATACAAGACAGGCGCATTCGAAGAAACCCCAACAGCTGTTCCTTCTTTACGACAACCGGCGCCATTTGGTTTCAAGTTGTCCAACGTCCCCGGGCAGCCCGGTTACCTTCGAATGTTGTCCAGTCTTCTTCACATAACAAGAGAGGAGCGAGAGCAACGGAACACATAAAATATCACAAAGGAAAACAACCTCGCACGACGCAATACCACCCCGGAAGCGACCCTAGCCATTTTCCGTCGCCAGTTACCGATTGTAGAGACGTGCTTTCCTAATGTCCAAATCATCGTGTGCAATACCATCACCCGTGCCATCCAGTTCTCGTACGGCATGCTGAAGTATTGAACGTTCACCCCTGGACATCAAAAATACCCACTTCCCACACATCCTTCACGCGTCATACCTTCATACTCATCGTCCCCAATGTTGCGTCGATAATAACATAATAACAGTCTGGAATGCTGAAATGTGTAAAACAGGAGATCAAAAGACGATTGCAGAGCAAGGGGAGGGAAAATGAAACAAAACAATGAATGATATATCCGAGGGTCTTCAGTGGCAGGCATCAACTGCAAGACACCCCTCGTTCTGTCAAGAGACAGAAGATTTTCATTTTGCATCTCCTTCGGTCTAACCCTCCCGGTCGGTTTCAAAAGATGGCTTAAAGATCCTGGACAAACATGACAACCGAGGAGAGATGACGTAAAATAGCCACAGTAATAGCGTTGTTTCTCTCTACCAAGGTCTTCCCATGTGCAAATCGAATGTAATGTTTCTGAGTACGCATTCGAATGTTCGATTACGGAGACTCAGACACGATGGGGAAGACCAGATAAACCAGCAGGCAGATCGGGGGAAAAACGCGGCGGATCGAAACGGCGAAAACCGGAAGACGATCGAAAACGGGATGACGGGCTAACAGAGAATGCAATGAAGTGAAATAAAAAAAGAAAGAATGGAGACCCAAGGCGAAAGAAGTCGGAGGATTTGCTGCAGGTGGCAAAAGGTTACCAGCATCACGATGCTCTTGGGTTCTTCAGATAATGGGATGCCAACATGCAGGAAGCCAAACTATCATCAAGGGAGAACAGCTGAGCTACCCTGCCATGTTGCATAATTAGTACCACTGAGCACCGTATCCATCGTCCCGCTTCGAGCGGCTACCGGCAGGCCCATAAGCACCTGAAGCAGCAACCTTGGAAGCAGAACGCAGCCTAACGCCGAAGACTATGAGATTAGTCAGATTCTAGGATTCAAGGCGACCTCTACGTGCGGGGTCAAGGCAAATCACCAAACGCAGAGGAAAGGGGTTCCCTACACGGAACCTAGGTTTCAGATACTCACATCCTGTCACTCCCTCCCACAGCACGGTTGGTGTCGGGGGTGTTGTCGAGAGTTCCACGTTCGATGACCTTGCGGCGCTGGCTTGAGATAGCACCAGGCTTAGCAGCAGCACCAGGGGTGCCCATCGGTGCAGCAGCTGCCACGCCTTGGCGGCGCTGCTGTTCCTCCACTTCCTTATCCTTCTTGTTGCTGGCATCCACAATCATGGCGGCATTCTTCTGGTACTTGTAGACGGTCCAGTCGAAAACGTAGTCGTACTGGAAAGACTCGCGGACGAAAAGGTCACGGAAAATCTTGCGGAGGTACGAGTAATCGGGCTTATCATCGAAACGCAGGGAACGGGTGTAGTTCAAGTAGATCGAGAATTCGTTGGGGAATCCACGGCAAAGGACCTCAGTGGGCGTGGTCATCTTCTTCTCCATGATGCGGTCATACTTCTGCTTCTTAGTGGCAGCCTTAAGTCCCTGCCAAGGGAGAGTGCCACGGCAGAAGTAGAGCATGACGTATCCCAGAGACTCCATGTCATCGCGGCGAGACTGTTCAACACCCAAGTGAGTGTTGATACTGGCGTAACGGGCAGTTCCGGTAAGGTTCTTGTTCTCGCGGTAAGGAATGTGGAAGTGCGTCTTGGGGTCACGATATTTCTTGGCCAAACCGAAATCGATCACATTGACCTGGTTTCCGCGCTTGCCAATGCCCATGAGGAAGTTGTCGGGCTTAATGTCACGGTGAATGAAAGACTTGGCATGGATATACTCGATGCGGGAAATGAGTTGATCAGCCAGGAGAAGCACGGTCTTGAGCGAGAACTTGCGGTTGCAGAAGTTGAATAGGTCCTCCAGACTGGGACCCAAAAGGTCGATAACCATAGCATTATAGTCGCACTCAGTACCGAACCAACGGACGAATGGAATGCCAACACCACCAGCAAGAGACTTGTAAACACGAGCCTCGTACTCAAGTTGAGGGTGCTTAGCCTTGACACTCTCGAGCTTAATAGCAATCTCCTCACCGGAGATGATATTGGTTCCTTAAGTTCTGTCAGTCAATGTTGACCAGCCTGATTATTGCCATTCCAAAGAGATAATACGCACCGAGATAGATATCACCAAAGCTACCGCTTCCAATCTTGCGGCCAATGCGGTATTTGTTACCGACACGCAAATCCTAGGAGCCTTTCTTAGACATGAACGCTCGACGGAAAGGTAGAGCAATAGACTACGTACCATGGTCGTCATCTTGAGTAAAAGCACACACAGCTGACGGCTGTGGCTGTAAGATCACAAAGACTGTAGCTCGGATTGTCAGATACCAATTTGAAAGGGTTGCATGGACCGAATTCAAAGTAATCAAGGGCGTATTTAAGTAAGAAACTCTGCAGGATGAACACAGAATGAGGCTAGGATAGGAGGGGAAGAGAATGGTCACGATGAAGCAGGCTGCCTTCGGCGCGTAGTTACTTGGCACAGTGAATTAGCCCACTGAGGCTAGGACCAGCAGGGAATGCCTGGCAGTGAAGCACCGAGGAACACAAGAAACAGAACAGGTGTGTAACGACCAGTCCGGACCAAAAAAAAATAGTGAGAGTCTGACAAACCTTGTGGAAAGAGGCGGGTGAGAAGAGATGAGTGAGATAGCGGTGATGTCGACCGTTGGGGCTCCGACCGACCAGAAAGGCAAAAAGGCGGAGAGGGAAAAAGGAGATGAGGTGGTGACTTGACGTGCCTTTGAAAGAGGCTGACAAGGAAATACGGGCGAGTGGAAAACCAACAAAAAGAGGAAAAAGGGAGAAGGAACAGAAAAGTGGAAACAAATGGCAATAAATCAAGGACAACGCCTTGATACCAGAAGGTGGGATGGAAGGAAAGAAGGGAAAGAAGAGAGAGAAAGAGAAGAAGAGAAAGAGAGTAAGATTGCGAGTGAGAGTGAGAGGGGGCGGGTAAAGGCCGGTGATCACTTTGGCTGTGGTTGGCGGTCGCAGCTTGTCACAGCGGTCTGCCGTAGGAGCTGTTACATTTCAATTACGACCCGGGGGTCCATTACCTTACCTCCAGGTTGGGTATTTTTGTAATTTTGTTTTAAAAGTATTAGGCAGTAAACAAATCTGGTCAGGCAAAGAACACCATAGGGTAGAAAGAATTATTACAATCAGAAAAATAATTAGAAAACCCATAGTTTTCTATTTTTCTATTTTTAAAAATGTGAAGAAATTTAATATATCTTGGACCGGACGCTCAGTAAGTCGGTGAAGAAACTTGTCACTAGGAGGGCGTAAATAGTGTTTTGTTTAACGTTTGTTTTCT